ATCTGAGTTGGTTGACGGATACTGAGAAGGATGAAATCAGGAAAATGAAACAAGAAGGAAAGCCGAAAGCGGATATTCAACAGAAAATTTTTGATTACTACGAGAAATTGACGGGTGACGGAAAGAAAGAAGCTGATGAGAAACTTCGTGCAGGTTGTCGTGAATTATTGAAGGAAATCGTTGGTGATGAGAAGATGAAGGAATTGAAACAGATGAATGATTCAGGAGTTAGTCTGGAAGAACTGAAAGCGAAGGTCGATGATTTGTTGGAGCGTGTCACTGACGAAGACAAGAAGCGAAAAATTCATGAATACGGTCCTGCATGCCGCAAAGTCTACGAAATGGCTATGGTGCGGAGTAAGCGAAATCAAATGAATGGTGATTTAAAGTATCACAGTGGTTTTTACTTGCAATGGCTTAGTGACGAAGAGAGGGACGAAATTCAAAAAATAGTAGGAGAAAGCAGATCAAGAGTCGATATACTGAAGGGAATCTTTTTTTACTATCAGAATCTTCATGGAGAAGAGAAAGAAAGAGCTGGAGAACGTCTGAAGTTAAGTTGTGAAGAGATTGTTCGGAGTTTAGTCGAAGAAAATCAATTAAATGAATTACAGGCATTAGAAGATGATGGCTCTTCAATGAGCGAAATGATGAAAATGTTGTCAGCTACTGCGGATAAATCAAAGTTCATACAAATTAGGACATATCAAACTGCTTGTCACAGAATCTTCAGCTCGAAACAGCTTGTAAGAAGAAAACGCGAATACAAAGATCATTCTTTAGATAATTATCTTCAGAAGAATTTAAAATGGCTTTCGGTGGAGCAGAAAGAAGAATTGAGGAAAATGAAGAAAGATGGTAAATCGAGGACTGATATGATTACTAAAGTGTTTAATTATTACGATGATTTATTCGGCGAAGCAAAGCAGCGTGTCACTGAAATATTGTACGATGGCTGTCGACAAATTTTAAAAAACGTTATCGGTGATGACCAATACAACGAGTTGGCAAAAATGAAGGAATCGGGCGCAAATATCAATGATTTAAAAATAAAAGCTGATGCAATGTTAAGTGAAGTAGTAGATAAGGAGAAAAAAGAGAAAATTAAAAATTATGGATCCGGTTGCAGGAAAGTATTTATGAGAATAAATAATAAACATTCATTGGAGGAGCACTTCAAGACAGACTTAAAGTGGCTCACGAAAGAACAGAAGGATGAGGTGCTGAAGATGGAGGTTGAAAACAAATCAAGAGCAGATATTCAAGGGAAGATATTACATTTCTATGAAGATTTAAACGAGGAAGCAAAAAAAGAAGCAGCTGAATTCCTTAACGGTGCATGTTACGATATCACTGTGCACGTTTTTGGTGATGAAAAAGCAGAAGAACTGAAGAAAGTGAGAGAATCGACTGGTGTTAGTGATGAGATTCGACGCAAAATGGATGGAATGATTGATGAAATTGAGGATGAAGACAAAAGAGCAAAAGCACAAGAATATGGCCCAATTTGCCAAAATATTTTTCTTCATTATCAACGCAAACATCGTGAACATTCACTGCCACGTTATTTTCGCACGCATTTGAAATGGCTTTCTGAGACGCAAAAGGATGAAATCGAGAAAATGAAAGCTGTCGGTTAGTTTCTGTCCTATTGAATTTTTAATGGAATTACTTTCTTCAGAATTAAAATAGAAAATTAGATTTCACGGATAAATTTAGATGAAGTTTCAAGAGATATTCTTGCATGTCGAATGATTTCTACTTTTTATTCATCATGTGTGAGTTTTTTCAAATGCTCATTGTAATCTTGGAAAATTTAAAATTAGTTATATTTTTCATCCTTATATAAAATTAACTATATTTTTCATCTTTATGTTATTCATCTTTGATTGCAGGGAAAAGTCGTGAAGAAATTCAATCCAAAATTTTTGAATTTTTTGAAAGTGCCAGCGGAGAAACGAAAAAACTTGCCACAGATTCACTACTAGAAGGTTGCAATGAATTACTCAAAATGATTGGCGGCGAAAAAAAAGCACATGAACTGCACGCTATGGTACAAAGCGATTTGGCTGCAGAGAAGATCGAAGAGAAAATTATTTCAATAATCGATTCTGTAAATAATCAATCGGAAAAAGCTCATGCTAAAGTTTACTTAACACCTTGCATACAACTCTACAATATTCGTATGAATAGACAAAAGCGAGGTTCTGAAAAGTTATTTCATACTTATTTAACTTACATTTACTAATCTAACCTGTAGTAGATATTTATAAGCGATTTTCATAAGGTTTATTTAAATTTATTACTACACATTGGTCTTATATCATTTCCTTTTTCAGAGTCTTCAATTCTTTCGAACAGTATTTGGGGAAATATTCTCAAGTATTATTCCAAAAACATCGTATTTGGATGAATTTATTTGAAATATGGCATCCTAAAAAAAATTTTTTCTTTGACATAATTAAACTTTGAATGTATTTTTTTTCATTTTGATAAGAATTTTTTTTTTTTTTGTAAAAAATGTTGTTGCAACAGCGAAATGATAATTGGATAAACGAATTTAGCGTAATCTTGAGACATTTACTTATAAAATGATTTCACACTTATTGTTTCTTACTGTTGTAAACTGCAGATACAGCTTTCTTTATTACTGCCTATTTCTCATATCTTAATTGAATAAAAAAATTTGAAATGAATTCATTTTTTTGTGATTAAATCTGAGTTTTACTGCATCAGCAGCTACCATCATTATACACTTGTTAAAAATGCTTTCAATATTTTCTCACCATAACTCAAGTTTTTTAGGCATGTAATATGATTGATTATTGAAACTTCGTTGAACATTTTTTAAGCTTTCAAATTGTTAATTTTTAAAATGAAATATTTGATCATTCTTGTAAAATTTAATGCACTTTTCATTAAAATAAACATTATTTGAAGTGAAATTTCTCGTACTATTTTATCACTTCATTTTCACATTAAGAGCAATTATAAAGCCAAGTCATTAGTGCAATATTTGATCATTTGACTTGAATTTTATTTATCAGTTAAAAGAATTCATAAGTCATGCTTTGATAGACTTGTTGATAAACTGTAATGCATTGGTTGAAATCGGAATTTTAAACTTTGACTTTGAAGCTAATTTTATTTATGCGATTGTTCAATCTTATCCATAATTTTTATCAATCTGCATATCACTAAAATGAGGCGATATTTTTCATAATTTTTTAAGAAATTTCATATTCATCTGATACTGATTACAGAAAAACTCAGAAAGTGGCAAGCTTCAATTGGAAGCTTTCAATTGAAACAATCATTTCTTTAGAAGACAATTGTAATAAATAATGATGATTAAAATTCTATTGCATTAATCAATTTTAAATCGCTTCTTAAAGATAAATTTGCGCGAACTCTTTATAGTATTGATTTTAAATCCAAATTTACTCATTCACACTTTACGAATAGAAAAAAATTTGCAAAAATTTTTGGAAAGAATTTTCTGGAAGAGCAGAAATTATGAGTGAGAAGAAAGTTTGGAAATGACTTCCTTTTCATTTATGATATAAGAGAGCGTCAGTTGTTTCCCTTCAAAAGTTGCTTGCAAATGTTGTTATTAAATTATATGCTTTTCCAGAGAAACCCTAAGGCTTGTGGGAGGAGGAGACGGTAATGTAACAGATGAAATAGAGCCCGAGCTCATTCTACTCATTTGCAAAAATATTCCCATTCTCTGCAAGAAATATTTATCTGAGAGGTATCATCGACTGCAACTACGATTATGTGGCTTTTCCTTTTAAAATTCTGCCTTTTATCCCTTTTTTCTAAGTTTATTACGGTTGGTTTTCTTTTTGAAATCTTCCCGAATATTTCAATTTGAGATTTAAACATGAAATCTTTAAATTTAATTCACCAAAGACTAAGATTGCTCAACTTCACAGTGAAAAGAATGAGCTAGAAATACCAGTTTTTGAAGTATTAATTATATTAATAAAAATAATATGATCAAAAATTCTGTCGCATATCTGATTTAATAAATCACAAAGTTTTGATTTGATAGCTCAAGACTGGAATACGTAAAACTACTTCTGAAAAGACTTAAATTAAAATTATAAAATTAATCCATTTTCTTAATTTCTTAATTGTTGCGTAATCCTAATTTCCCTGCAAAACTACCAGTTCTCTGATTTAGATTTGAAGTTGTGAGTAAAACCTCCAACCCGATAGGATATGGTTACTAACAAAACGCAATTTTTGTAGAGCATAAAAAAAAACTTTCATATATGTTCCATTTAAAATACGAGCATGAGAAATAAAGCTTTTCAGCTTTCATCCATAAAAAATTCTTTTTTTTTACTTTCTCAAATTTTCACTATTCCTTATCATTTTCTCTTTTCTGTTTGATTCTGTCTGCTGTTAATAGCAATCGAAATTCTTGAAATGTTTTTAGAAACAAAAGCCATGAAAATACGTTTCAGCAATGTATGTTCCCAAAACATGTTGCAATATCTGAATTCCGAAGGTCTATTTTTCAAACTGACTGAATTAGTTTAGATCATTTGAGAAAAATAATTTCGAAATCGTCCATGAATCCCGAATATTTTAGGATCTTTCTTGATTTCGTATTTTTTGCTTCTCAAAAGAAGTCAAAAAGATTACATTTTCGCAGGATTTGGCGTAATGGGCAAATACCTGACGTGTCTAAGTTCATTACTTGACATACAACTCAAGCTAAAAAGTATCATTATGCAGAAATTTTATCAAAGATATTTTAATGAAAAAATTGGATATAATCATTTCAAGATAAATTTATTAAAAAATGTTTTCGCTGAAAGTTCTGCGGCAAATGAAAAAATTAATTTAATTTTACGAAAAGTTACATTTTTTGGCTGAAGGTATAAAAATAATCTTAATTCAATATCCACTGATTATTTTTTCAAAATTTATGAAGTGAAATATTCATTTTTCTTTGCATAATGTGAATGCAGATGAGCAAAGAAATTACCGTAATTAGTAGCTGAAAGGTATTCAGTAAAATTTCTCAATCTTCAAAGTTTTATAGGTCTTTTTTAGGTCAGTAAAGATTTAACCAATTTATTTACGCTACCTATCGCTTTCCTTTTATTTATTGCTTTACAGTGTGCACTAATTTTTTTTTTTTTTTAAATAGTATCTTCCAACACTTTTGATTATCATTATTCAAAAATAACAATATTTTGTTTTCCCAAATTTTTACATAATCAGCATTAATTTTCATGCTAAGTGCTGTTTCATTAACTCTTCTATGTCCAGAAATGGTCATTTTGATAGACTGATGATAAGGTGATAATTAAGGAAAGTTAGAAAGTTAAAAATTAAGGAAAGTTCAAGTATAATAATAATTGATCGGAAATATTTCTTTTAAAATTTTTCAATGGGTAAATTTAAATTTTAACCAGAAAATAATAGCATATTTCATATTTAGATAAAATAGACTTGCTAGAGATTCAAGACTAAATCATTATAGCTTCAAAATGAAGTTGGAGGAGTATCATCATCGGTGGATCAAGATGACCAAGTTGTCAAATTCCTTAGAAAAGCTGAGCAACCAATACAATGGAAATCAGCAGAAGTTATCAGACTACTGGAACCAAATGTAAAACCGATAATTCGACGGATGGAACCTCAGAATTTCGAATCAGATGAAAGTTAGTTTCTTTCTTTATTCTTCCTTCTCATATGGTAATTATTCTGAAAAAAAAAAGATATACCGAATGAAATGTCTGATGCAAAATGAGGCAAGAAGTGGAATTCCATTCATCTACCAGCAATAATGCGGTAATAATATCGCTGATATCAGATAATTGTATTTTTTTATAAAATAATTTAAAGCTTTGTCTGTCTCTTACTTGATCTTGCTTAAAACCGTTTCAGGAGAAGACGTGATGTTGGTTATTCCGGTTGAGAGATATACGGAAGAAGGAAGAGATGTAAAATGGGAACAAATTGGAAATTTAAATATGTGGAAATGGTTAACTATAGAACAGGTTTACATGCTGAATAAGCTGTATAAAACAACGGATGATGTAGCGTTGGTATTAGAAAAAACATACGCTCAACTACTTATGACTGATGGCGGATTACGAGAGATGGTAAGTAGTTAAGAAAATTTTTTAGATTTCAAAATTCGACCACTATAAATTTCTAAATTTTCACCGCATTAGCAATATATCATAAGAATTAAAATATCACACTTTTTTTCAATGAACAAAATAATTTCTGGATGTCAGTTCTATGATAAAGCAATATTTTCTTCTAGAATTAACAGCGTAATAAATGATCAGATTATTATCTGTTTGTAAGACATAGTTATTAGATAGGCCTCCTTGAGTAATTAATTGGCAAACAAAGGAAAAATTCGTTTATAAGAAGTATTTTTCAGAGTAGCAATTTTATTTGATCATTTCTTTATCATTTTTAAAAATTGCAACTTGATATTTGATAGGATCACAATTAATACCAAACCATAATAACAATATCATTTTGGATTTGTCATGGCTACAATTCTCTCCTTTTGTCAGAACTAAATAGAAATTATAATCTGTAATGCTGATGATCAAATCCGTGCTATAATTTCTCTGTCCAATCATGTCATATTTTATATTCCATCGAAATTGTAAAAATTTTTTGATTGAGTAGTTTGTTGTTTTGTGAACAAAAATTGTGAAGATTTATTCTTTGTAGAAGATTAGCGATAATACAATATGATGATTATAGTGATGAAGATTTCTTAATTACTGAGGTTGAAATAATCACTTGAACTTGAAGAGAAGTCAGCTCCGATCATCAATCAGAAGAATGCTATCCGATCATCAATCAGAAGAATGCTAATCGTGAGTCCGACTGTTGATGTGAATATCATGGGACTGAACTCAGAGCAATGAGTATGTACCTCCGTTGGACAGTACTGATGGGCATTTGATGTAGTAGATCATTTTGTATTTGAACAAAGAAGTTGCAGTATTTTGATTGATGAACAAAGGATCACGTGATCATTTGTAGATGAAATGAATTGCAACAAAAGAATCGTGTGGACATGTAATAGACAAAGCCCATGGCTAACGATTTAGACATATAACAGATAGATCCGATGGTTAATCGATGACGTGTAGTTATTTATACAGTTTATCACATTTTTCGACTTTCGTCGACAAATGCAAAATTGTAACAAATGCGAACAATTTTTGTTTTAAATATTCTGTTTGATAGGCAAAATTTGTCTTCATTTTAATCGGCGAGAAAAGCAAGCAAAAAATTTGCAGTCACTGAAGTATGATTAATAATTATGATGATCAAATTTCAATTATAATTTTTATAGGCAGTACAAAGCTTTCGAGAAACATGTAAAGAGTTATTACGAACAATATTAGGCGATCGAAATTATGAATTAATTGCCGATTTATATAACTTGGGTCGAACAGGAGAAGAAATTAAGGAAAAGTTGAATCAATTTTATGTGCAACTGAGTGAAATGAATAAAAAGTATGCTGACATGGTAAACATTTCATTTAAGAATAAAAAATTTGCTATAAAATTTAATTATCTAGAATAAACCTGAATCATAAACAAAGTTCTAATTTTAAAAAATCACTTGGTTCTTATTGCTCAATATGAAATAGTGTAAAAATTTTTCTATCGAAAGATAATAAAATTCAATTTTCAGTGTTCAAATAAAAATTTTTTAGATTGCTCCAACTTGCATGTTAGTTTATAATATTCGTCAATCACCGTTAATGCGATTTCCGAGAAAAATCAATGAAGATAAATTATTCGTCAAACAAATTCACTGGTTTAATAGAGAACAAGTAAAATTTGAAAGTTTAAATTATTAATTCAATTACTTTAATTTTAAATATAATATGCCGTTGAAGCAAAAAAATAACGCTACGAATTTCAGGAAACCGAAATTGAAACAATGTTAGCAGAAGGAGCAAGAAATGAAAATCTTTTGGCAAAAATTTTAGAATACTATGAAAATCTCGATTCGTTAAGCCAAGAAAAAGTATCCGAGTAATTTTTTTTCTCAAAGAATAAATTAATGAATATTTGAGAAAATAATACTAATTAAAGGTTTAAAATAAGTGCATATTAAAATCATTTATCGATTGCTAATTGTATATAATTCAAATAATTGTCCTTGGTTTTAATTCAAGGCGAAAATGTAGTTTTAGTACTTAGTCCATTGCATTAATCTTCGACAGACAGAATTAAAATAAGATATCAGAATTCGTTATAAGTATGAAAGTTCTTGAAACTAGCAAACACAGTCTACATCTATTTCTGTTTTACAAGTTTGGTATAATTTATTTGTCCAATTCTGAAATTTTCAGAGAATTAAAACAGCTTTGTCAAAATCGAATGAAGCAACTTTTCGGAACTGACGCTGTTGAAGTACTCAAATCCATGAACAAAGAGTTAACATTCGCGGAACTGTTAGTGAATAAATTTACTCAACTGATAAGCAATTTAACAAATGAAAACCAACGTAACGAAGCGGATCAATTAGGCATATTTTGTCAGAAGATATACGCTACTGAAAGTTTCGATCTTAGTGAATTAACGTCATGGCTATCTCCGGATCAGGTTTGACTCTATTAATAAAAAGATGAAATTCAAATTTAAACGTGAAATTAATTTCTAAAAAAAATTTAAAAGGCAAAACTTTCAATTATTGTCTTAACTGAATCATCTGGTTATTATTAAACTTTTTTTGATTGACAAACTTCAAGGAATGGAATATTAAGAACAAGTCCAAGTAATGCTCACATAGCGTCACTCTTTTTCAGAAAAATGAACTTAGCAACTTGATTCAAGATCATGATATAAGTGATGATGCTGTTTACGCACGTATTTTTGAATTTTATGAAAAAGCTGAACATAAGAAGAAAATGGATGCAAAAAGAATTATCGAATCCGGATGTAAACAATTTGTTCGCCGGATGTTTGGCACTAAAATTGCTGCTGTAAATTTTATGGAAATATAAAATTTATCGTTTACAACAAATAAAAAAAAAATTTACAATCATTCTGAGTCGTTTCTTAATTTTTTATCTATGATTTTTAGATATCTATGATTAAAATCATTTATCTATGATTTTTAGCAATTTTTAAAATTTTTTGCAGAAATTGGAAGAACATCGATTGGACAGTAACTTTACAGCTCAAATGCTTAGTGCTGAACTGGCAACATATGCTGCTGAAATAAAGGATAAGAAAAACCGAATAAAAGCCGAGTAAGTCTTACCTGACATTTAAATATTTGCAGATCATTTTGAAGAATTTGGTTTCATTTCATTAATTGATTTTCCAGAAAATCCATTCCAATTTGCAATTGGATTTATTTTGGCTATAAAGGCGATTGTTTTTGCAATGGTCATTCGTTCATTTGTGGTCCGTTCACTCACGAATGCCTGAATTGCGCTGACAATACATTTGGAGTACAATGCGAAAAGTAAGTTAAGGAAGATATCAATTATAGGATGAAGCTTTGATAATAAATTTATTGGAGCATTAATTTTATTGCTTAATTGAAATTCTAAATGATAGCAATTCGATCCCTGCAAAATAGTAAATAAATTTGATAGATAACCAATCTGTTAGTTGAGAGGCCATAAACACTCAAGCATTACAGTATCAAATTCCATCATCGGTCCCATCATTAGAGAGTATTCTCGCTCGGCACGATCACATATCCTTTCAGATGTTTAGATGGATTCGACGGGAGCGCTTTAATGGACGGAATAGGTTGTATGCCAATTGAGAAAAGCAACGAATTCACCGAATGTATGTGCAACAAACATTCCACAGAGTGCAATGAAAATGGCGAATGTTTAGTAAATCATTCATCATTTGTTTAATTTCATTGTTGGAGATTATGACGAGGCATAATTAAATGAAATTTATAAATGAGGAAAGATGGGAGAGAATAAATCGGAAAAATGAAAGAGAATGGTGAGGACGAGGAAATTTGAGGAAGGAAAATTTAGTATCTGTGAACAAAAGAAGCAAATATTGATAAGATTCATAGTTTCTGAAAGCACCACTTTGTACTAGTCTTTAGTGAAGTTTTTAACTTTCATATAATTATTTTTAACAGAACTGATGAAATTTCATTACAGTCCTGCTTGCATAACACAACTGGAAGTCAATGTGAGAATTGCGCAGAAGGTTTTTATGGTTATGCAACACAAGGCACAGCAGAGGACTGTATTCCATGTCCATGCCCGTAAGTTTATTTACTTTTTATTAATAGGCTTGGAAGGAGCTAGGAAGAAATACTTAACAGATTTCTGGAGCTAATAGGTTACTATATTAATAGGGAAATAGTTTGCTTGATCTTTCTGAAAATCTTAATTTAGAATACGATTTCATTTATAATACGATTAGTCCATTATACGATTCCGTAATCATTCGAGGTTAGTTGATATATTGTGAACATTTGGATTAACCCTTTTATTATATGTTTCCATATTATAATTAATGAATGTAAGTCAGAAATTTTGTGACAGCGAGAATTTGCTAATGGATGCAATGTACTGCACTGTACATATCCTGCATTATTCTCGTGTAGGAAAATATTTTATTGTGGCCTTTTTTCTAAAGGTCATCCTTTATTTTTATTTCAGTAATTGGAAATATAATAGCAAAAGTGTGGTGTCTCAAAAAATTATTTTTTCCTTTTGAAGAGATGGCGGAGACTGCTTTATAAATGGCGATGCACTGATAGAATGTCGCACTTGCTCCAATGGAACGTATGGTAGCAGGTGCGAATTACAGTTACAACCAGAAACAGCAGCAGGAATTCGTGAAATTATTATGTAAAAATAATAATTTGATACTGCTTCTCAGTGAACTTTAGTTTTTAAATTTCAACTTTTCTCATTTACTTGTTGCATTTAATCCCTATATTTTATTTTTCATAAAAGTTTTTTTTTTTTTGTTAATAGCAACAACACTTAAACATATTTTGTTGTAGAAAATTGAAGTTCTGAATACATTATCTTCCATGGACGAAAGCAAAGTGATGAATAAAATTCATCAGCATCCAACAAAAAATTATTATCGAGTGTGAATATTGATTACATTTTCACGGATTCTTTGAACTAACAGTGTAATCACAAATATATTAATCAAAGAGCATAAAGCGAACTGCACAAACAAATAAATGAAATGCTTTTATTTTAATTAATTAATTTTTTTTTACAAAAACTGTCCAATGAATGGAATATTTATTTTACAAAAACAAACAAAACGAGGCAAAAGTTTAGAAAATGATGAACATTTGCAATCTTCCATAACATTTGTGGTATCGATATAAATGAGTTGATTAACAGTAGGAATATTACGTATTCGTAACAACCGTTCGTCTTACCTTTATTTGGCTTCTTATAGGAACATTGTGTCCATATAGTTATTGAACTCAGGTTCACCGGACATCTGTAATGCATATATGTAATATTTAATTTAATTTTTGGAAATATATCCATCCTGAAAGAATTTGAAAAAAAAAAGTGCAACTACCAATAAACATTGTAAGGCATGCTTTCAACCATTGTTACCAAATTTTCAGGACAAGGGGAAATTTGCCATGAGAGCGAATAATGGTTTTTTTAAGTACATGACATAATCGGATAAGTATTTTTTATGTGCTCATGCATGTTTCGGAACATGCAGTTCACTCACTCCATCACACATGCATAGCAATTCGTTCTCCGAAATTTTTACTTTCTGCAATATTCCGTTTTTTTCAATGACATTTATGAAGATTCCCGAATGCATATTATAGTTTCATTATTTCTTTTATGCTTACAATTTAATTTAATGCATTCAATCATTTATCAAAACATTTTCCGGAATTTACTTTATTTAATGATAGTAAGTTATTACTAATTACTGATGAATATAGATAGAAGAGTGTGTCATTGTTCATTACATAATCATATATATGAAAAGGCAAAAATGTAAAAGCTCTGAGATTTGCTGTTTCATGTAACTCATAGTTATCTAATGTGCTTAGAAATCAATTATAAATGGCTAATCTTAATTTTTTTAAAATTTTATTTGAATTTTTTTTTGAATGACATGTCATCGTTTTAATTTAACTCAATTTTATTTTATCTCATTTGATAAAAATTGGAAATAAATGTCAAATTATTTCTACTTTCTTAAAAATGAGTTAATTAATAAGGCGAAAGTGCCATACATATTATTTTGTTTATATAAAATACCCTAATGAAGAAGACACACTTAGCATAATAAAATTATCATAAAAACTTTAATGCAGTTAGCATTCGCACATGTTCATCAGCGTCATATGCTGCGGGTAATGATGAAGTTTACAAAATGTTAATTTGTTGAAAAGAAAAAAAGAAATCTAACAATCAGAAGATGGAGTACTGTAATTAGTTTGAAGCAATTAATTCACTAGGATAAATATCAGTCAAAACAATTGCACGAATTAATTAATTGTTTGTTACAAATTGCAATCTTAAGCGAAATAATTAGCATTTTTAAATAAGACGAACAGGATGGAAAATTAAGCAATCAATTAGCAAAGATATTAATTGCCTTATATGGATAGGGTGAAAAAAGTAAAAAATTCGAAGTGACATCTCCTCTGATTTTAGTCACATCAAAGAACCAAAAAGTTATGTCTATTAATTAATAAGCTTTAGATTTTAAAAGTCAGCTATAAGCTGCATGAAAATAATACCTTACGTATTATTTTCACGCAGCTTTCACATAAAAATTCTTTCGACACTCTTGTTTTGGCTTTAAGGAATTCAGAAGTTACCTTTGTGTTAAGCATCCATTTTTCGTTTAAATAAACAAAAAATTTTTTTTCGAAACAAAAATTTTGAAAATTTTTTTTTTTAATTCTTCGTGAAGAGTCTTTTGTTCGGTCTCTTCCTGATGAGGGAGTATTGTTTTTTCGTTAAACAGCGCCGATTTTTTGCACATATTCATGTATGACCTTGCACTAAGCAATTCGTTTTCATCTTCTCCAAATCTTCGCTAAAACATCATGCAAATCATACCTTATTGTATTTAATTCTTTCTCAATTATGGCACTCGTCATTTCCCGATAAGGAACTTTTATTTATTTATTTTTGGCAAATCGATGGATTAAGGCTTCTTCGACATGCGATAGCATAAGTAATAGAAGGAACTTTTTTGCTTGACAGTTATATTTCTCATGATAATATTTTCAATTTTTGTATTAATTTTGACGAATTTTCAATTTCTGGCCTTAAATTTCTGCTAATGAGGCAGAATATATATTAAATGAAATAAGAAATAATCAATAAATGATACTTTCTTGTGAAACGATTGAATTAATTTTGGGATCCATTGCCATTTTTCTTTTGCGATTGTTTGAATGCTAATACTCTGATTTGTTTTTCATTCAGTTTTATATTATTTATTTGAAATATTTGATGGTGCATGGCATTACGAATTTGCATAAAATTATATTAAATTATAAACTAAAATATGACGTAAATAATTTTAAAAAACAAAACTATTAATATACACCTATAGCACATAAAAGAAAGATTCTTTTCATTTTTAGGTAAACTAATTCAAACACAATTACTTACAAGTCATTTAAATAAATAAAAATGCAAAATTTTATGAGCAGATAAGATAACCCATTAGTATGGAAATATTTTTGAATTTCTTATTCAAAATTTTTTCGATTTTTCTATTTTACTTCAAGTGCTATTTCTTTTCCATGATAGATAATAACTTTGCTTTCTACAGTACATTGATTTGTATTTGCTTCAGAAAATATTTTTACTGCTGTTTGAAATAAAATTAATTTGAGGAACTAAAATTTTGCAGTTGTAATTTCTGAGGATTTCGAATCACAACATTTGCAGGTTTTTTTAGAAACATTAGCCTTTTAATAGCAGTAAATTTCCAATTCATTTGCAATTTTGTCTGAGCTTTCAATATGGTGGAGAAGATAGGACGAATGTAGCGAAAACATTTTTTGGGAATTTTTGATTCCATTAATGGATGATTCAAATCAGACAATTCAAAATTAAGCCAATTTTTTCTATTGCAAGTTTACTTAAACAAAAAAATTGTTTTCAGCAATTGCCTTGCAATTAATATAATGCGTGATTTCTTTCTTTTGTAAAATTGAGGTGTGAAAAAAGAAAGTATATGAACAATGTGATCGGGACAATTACAATCAATAAAGAGATCGATATGGATAAGTTGATTAATGTTAGGAAGATCGCGCATTTGGTAATAACCGCCTGCTTCAGCAATATTTGTACAAACATTGGGCCCAATTAGTAAATGAGTTCAGAGCTGCTGGACATCTAAATTACATTTAATAAATTATTTTTGAACTAATCTGATTTATTTAAAATCTTTGTTACAATAAATACCAATGGATCTAAGGTGACACTAAAACACTAAAAAAAACCTCAAAAGACTTCGATAGGATATGAAAATTGTATGAAAATTTAAATGAGTATTTTTTTAATATTAGAATTTTTTTTTTTTAATATTAGAAAGTAGAAGTGTAGAAATTAGCAGATATTGATAAACGTTGCATGGCAAACGTTCGACCATTGCTGCCAAATTACAGAAACAATTTGGAAAATAACCACGAGTTTGGATAATGGTTTTGTTAAGGACATATTGTGATCGAGAAGGTAGGCGTGAAGAGGGTAAGTATGTTTCCGAGCATGGACCCCATTCACTCCAATGATGTAAACATGGCTTTTTTATTTCAGGATTGGAGATTTGCACTATTTATAAAATTTCTCTCTCTCTCTCTCTTTTCCTCTTTGTCTTAAATTTCTTTTTTTTGTTTATTTTTTGATAGAGTTAATTAATTAAAACACAAATATAAATAATCACTGATATTTCAAGACTTTTGAAACGTTAATAATTATGAGGGGTGATAAACTGTGTACGATGAGAAGTAATACTATTTTGTTGAGATCGGTTAGTTATCAGGAAATTCAATGCAGTAAATGACCAAATGCGTGGATCGTTCAAAAGTTTAATAATTAACTATATATAATGATCAAAACGAAAATGACAAAATGAACTATTTAATTTAATTTAATTTAGTGTAATGTAATGTGATGTAATGTAATTTAATCTAATTTGGGATACAAATGATTAACTGACAATTTTCATATTATTTGCAAGTGTTAAACACACCGTTTTATAGAGTGTTAAAATAACAATCAAAATTTTTAAGGTAAGTAAAACCTTGGTGGATAGCGATCTTGCATGAAAGTGAGCATAATCATCTGCCTCGGTCATATCAGAAAGCTGAAAATAATCATTTTTATTTTTGCTTCTTTTACTTTTGAAAATTTCTTCAAAACCATTTTGATTTTTATCTTTTGAATAATTGCACAAAATTTCAAATGAAATTAACTTTATAATAGTTGTAAATTTTTAATAGTTAATTTTATAACTTATAGTAGTTAATATTTACTTGTAATAGTTAATATTTATCATAGTTAACTTTATAATAGTTAATATTTATAATAGTTTAAGTAAAAGCAGCTTTTCAACTTCGGGTTCTACCAGCATACTGATATAATATCAATCAAATTAAAATAGATTTTAAATTTAACGAGCCATCCTTTCTCTCTAATGTTTTGTCAGTTCCAATTAATCATGTTAGTTACATTTGAACTATGAAATTTTGTCAGAAATTTATCAATATTCAAGAATGGAAGAGAATAGACCTCATTAGTAAAATCGCATTTGAGATCCTTCTCGAAGCGTACCATCGTCCAACACCGAGTCGGGTGGTTGTATTGCTTTTGATTCGATCACACGCGTATGTTCGTATGATTGCTTTTTTATGCAAATCTTCTCCGATGCCTATTCAATAACAGAGATTATCTTAAAAAATTTTTCTGTCAGTTTTATTTCATTTTTAATTTCTTTTACTCACTTGAAGAGAACTATTTCAACTATTTATTCAATGTTTTTGAGGCTTTGAATGAAGGAAATTTCGAGTGCCAACAACTTCATTCTCTTTATTTCCAGTTTGCTTTCTTTTTTGTTTCATCATTAATTCCAAATCTATTAAAATTTCTTATAAGCCTTAATTTTATTTAATCTAGCGCTAACGCTCAAATGAAAAATATATTTACTAGAAGTATGAAGCAAAAGAAGAAAAGATGAATATTATCAGCTCGAACTTTTGCTTCTTCTGAATCAATTGTGCACCCTTTTCGATTGTTATCAAAAACAGATCGACGGAAATAAATGCATCAATTTGAATGATCGATTTATTATGCCTTACCTAATATTTTCCAATAAGCAATGATAAGTTGGCATAAATTTGCATGATAAACAAACGTATGTATGCAAATAAGCCAATAAGGCAAAGAATGGACAAAACCGCCAGTTTTTACGAAATAATAGCTCATATTTTTTGATTCATTTTTCCAGATGAAAGAGGACTTATTTTTTAGAATTTTTGTACTCATATTTTCTTCGCTTCATGCTTAATATTTTTCCCTATTTCGTCACCTCATAGTTTTCCAATGCTCTCTCAATTTCCATGACCTCTCACCGATGGCATCTCTTTTCCTTCACCTCAATTCTTCATGTTGTCCTTTTTTTTCTATTTATTTATCACAAAGATATTTCATACATAATTATCCTGCTTATATATAAATCTTCCATTGGCAAATAGCGTAATTGAAACGGTTCTTATACAAGAATTGCAAGATATCATATACCCCCAATCATCAGGAAATATCCCATTTTGGTTCAAATTGCTGTTCACATTTATATACTGCACTCTTTTAGAAAGCTCAGAGCAATTGACATAAGTCTACTACAATCATATTCAGGTTATACTTTTCAGTAATATTTGGTTGATTGATGTTTAGTTCTGCAACAGAGTTAAATATTTCCGGTAGCAGGGCTAGAAGTATTTATAATTTCTGAAATGCATTTTTCTAATAATCTTCTTCGTCAGCGTCGAAAGATTTGCTCAGGAACAATCGATTTAAAAAAAAGAGAATTTAAGAAATGTGAATGACATGAAAAGAGAATATTTCACTGATATTGGGTGAGATCGAGTCTATCGAATAGACTTTTAAAAATTATTTCTAACCTTTCAACCCCACAAAAACTAAATACCAAAGTAAGTGAAAATATTTTAATGCCTTGTTAAAATTTTTTCTGCATTAATTTTATTCTTAAAGAGAATGAAAGATCATAATCCTGGAATGCATTTAATTCTTTTGATTTTATTTTATTCAATTCAATAAGCTGTTCTTAATTTTTTTTCAAAACTAATTTCGAACATTTATGAAAAATTTTGCAAAATTCTGTTAATGGCTCAAAGAATTTTTAAATCAAACATTTAATTTTTTTCCATTTCATTATAAATAATATTAACAAGATCTGTAAAATTTATGATTTTTTTTTGAAAAAGAAAAAAGCGCTATAAACTCTGATTAAAGATTGGGAGATAAACTTTAGACTTCTACGACTGAAAACGTTAGCAGAAGAATATTTGATTCACAATTAATATTGCACATTCTAAAAGATCAACATTAAGCGCAAATGTCCGTGTTGTGGAGTACTTTCTCATTTTATATATATTAACCTCTTTGCAAATGACTTGCAATTGCGCAAGAAAAAAGAAAAAAATTAGATATAACTTTTCGGAGTTATTTTAGTTTTTTACTATTCATTTTGGTTTTTGATCAGAAAAATATACAAGAGTATGTAGATGCAACAGATTCAATGTCATAGTAATACGGCGCTACATTCATCAGTGCTTTCGAGAAAACATGAAAATTTATGTCAAGCATATGAAACTATTATCCGATATTGCGGAGATGATTGCAATCGTCAAGAATTAATTAAAACACCCGAGAGAGCTGCCCAAGCCATGCTTTTTTTCACCAAAGGCTACGAAGACAACTTGCACGGTGAATTTGCTACTCATACAATTCTGTTTCTTATATGATTTTCAACTTTTAGCTTCAACAAAATAATCATATGGGAAGAATTATTGTTAAGATATGACTTAGAGAAGACTGACGATCAAATAGAGTATAATTGATGATTTCGTAAACCCCTTGAATAAAACATTTTTTATTTCATTTTGTCCAAAATTCTTCATAAAAACAAAGATGTATTATCAAATCAATCCACAGATAAACAGAGAAAGTGCAGTTTTATGAAAGTTTAAGGATGACAAAATTTATTAATTTAAAAATCGTTAAAGCTAATTAATTTTAATGATCAATATAATTTAATAGATTTGATTAATGGAGCAGTATTTAACGAAGATCATGATGACATGGTGATTGTCAAGGATATCGAGGTGTTTTCCTTGTGTGAACATCACCTGGTGCCTTTCATCGGTAAGGCACATATCGGTTACATACCAAACAAGAAAATTTTAGGTCTCAGCAAGATCGCACGTATCGTTGAAATGTTCAGTCGACGTTTGCAAGGTTCTAATAAATTTTTTTTATTAATAAATATCAATCAACTTTTAGATTAAAATAATAATTCGTTTTTTTTTTCAATTCGTAGGTCATTAACTTATCATATGAGTTTCTACAATGAACTTAATGCAGATTAGTTATTATCAAGAATTTAGTGCAAGAACGACTGACGAAGCAAATAGCAGCAGCATTATCAGAAGCGATACAACCATTTGGTGTTGGCGTTGTTATAGAAGCCAGGTTTGTTCGTTTTTCCATTTTTGCAATAAGTAATTAATTTTTTCTTTGTCTTTCTTGATATTTGTAAAATAATTTAACGACTTAGATACTAATATTAAAATCAGAAATAATTTTTCTCTATATTTTGATATGTATAAGAATACTTTATAATGAAACTTGCTAGATTATAAATTAGCTAAGTAAGAGTTGTAGATAAGTAAGCATACTCTAAAATAATAGAAGATAAATGAAATATTTTAGTCATATGTGTATGGTTATGCGTGGTATCCAGAAAATCAACGCAGTTACTATTACCAGCTGTATGGTAGATATTTTCCGGGATGATGCAAAAACGAGGGAAGAATTTTTGAAATTAATTAAAAATTAATATTATCGCATTCATATACATAGTTGTTTACAAAATTAATCCGTCCTTTATCTAATTCTTTTAATGATATTCTTACATAAATTAGAAAATTGGATGGAATAGAATATCGTTTGATGGCACAGTCTTTTCACTCATTAACTAATCAAACAGTAAACATCACTGAATCAGAAGAGAATCATTTCATATTCAACAAATATTCGTAAATTAAAAAAGAAAAGTATAATTCTCGATAAGAGCCAAATTGGACAAATATCTTTAAAAAATATCATTCACAATACCGTTTCCCCTTCTTCTCTCGTCTCTAATACAAAAATATTATTTTGCCTTTTCTTATTCCTCTCTCTGTTTAATTAAATCATTAAGTTCCAGGGACAAAAAAAATATATTTGTTTATATTAATGCTAATACTAGTATGAAAATGAAAATCTCCTGTTCAATGAAGAACATTACCTACTGTGATGAATTTTACTTACACGCTTTTTTTAGCCCAATTTTTACTCATTCTTATTTATCCATTTCTTTCATATATTACTGTCAATCTTTTGTTTTCCAATAGTTTTTGGATAAAATTTAACCATAAACAAATGTGAAATTCATTCTGCCTGTCTCTACACGAAATTTCTTTCTCACTTATCATTAAATATGTTTAAATGATATTTCAAGTTATAATACAGAAGCTTTGATACTGTAAGAAATAAATCGGAATGTGTTGTCACCTTTCTCACCAAAGCAAAATGCTCACTCATTCTGTACTGCTGCTAATCAGCTAATATCACTTTATTTTCAGCTTATCATATTTATTATCACTCACCAAATGAAATGAAGTTCTCCTTCTTGTCAGCAAATTTTTGTGATCTTTCATTGTCACTTCTTTTTATCTCATTGAGTCAGCGCTATGTCAAATATGCGTATGAATAATCTATTTCTCGACTGAAGAACCAAATATATTGCCAAATCATTTTCATATAACATAGCCGTTGATTAAGACAATTTTACTCACCCTGAAATGACCCTTTAAAAATTTCAATAACATGGAATTATTTGATATTAAAATTCATATAAGCGATGTGTAGAATCGAATATTTAGTGAAGTAGAAAATGTAATAAATCATCGTAAAAGTGTAATAAATTATAAATGTAATAAATCATAAGGTTTCAAAAATCTGCAAAAGGTTTGTTTTTTTTCTTTCAGAATTTCTTATTTTTCAGCTTTTTTATTAATTGCAATCCAGCAAATTTAGCCTCAGAATAATTGCTATTATTGGAAATTTACACTCAAGAGATGACTTTGGAGCATTTTTTAGGTAAACTAGGCTTAAATCTATGTCAAATATTAACATTTTTGTGACAAACGAAAGAAGTTTAATATCGCAGCTTTTCGTCTCTCGATATTAACGGAAATATAAAAAATGTTTGAAATTCTTAAAAATTAAAAAAAAAATGTGATGACAAGCAGGAATTTAAGTGTTCTTCGAATGATCAGTTTATTTTTAACATTAATTGGAACCTTCAAAATTACTGTTTAACAAAGATGGCTTCCTATTATATGCAATAAATAAAACAAGATACAAAAAATATCAAGAGAAAATCTCTCTATTTAAAAAAATGAGTCAATTTATTTCTTCATTTGCAGATATTTAGCTTTCTACGGTTTCACGCCCATCACATTTATATCAACTAAATACTCAATTTTTGTTATCATAAATTTCCACGCCCAGTTGATTATATTTGAGACTTTGTTGCCGAAAGTAATTAACTAAAGTTTTACTGCCAAAATTAGAGAATTGAGCCACATGAAAAGATCGCAAAAACAAGGCTTAAAAGATTAATTAATTTTGGTGTTCATTCTCGCAACCATTTTAAATTTCATATTTTGGAATTGGTTAGGGTTTATGTACGTATAATAACACCAATCATTGGTTTAAATGATTGGTGTTATTATACGTACATATCTCCGATGACCATATATGTAGCACCTGACAGTATAATAGGTGAGATAGCATTTTACTAATCTTATTTTGATAATTATAATTTAAAAGTACAGTCTAGGATTTGAGTAAGATGCGTTTGTCCATTGAAAGTTAAAAAGTTAAATCGTTGCAGCGGCGAATAAGTTTGATGTTGAATATTTTCAAGTTGCATCTTTTAAAAAAAGATAAATAATGTTATCAAAAAATAAAAAATGCGAGAATGATTTACATTACGTTATAAGCTCAATTTTTCTCTTATTTTTTTGACATTAATGTAATTAAATTAACTAATTCATGCATAAATTGCTCTCTTCTAATCAAACCTGAGACCAACATTCATTTATGTGTAAAGAAAGAAAATGGGTAGGGAGCGTACAATAGGGCAATATTATTACTTTATAAGAAGCTTTAAAAAATGATATTTTCTTCAAAATAAAAATAAAAAAACCAATTCCCAAAACATAGCAAAAAAGAAATATAAAGAAAATCTTTTATCTAGCAATATTTTCAAGAATTACAACTATTCAACTTTTTCATTTCTTGCAAAGCATATATGTTAAACCACCAAAACCAACGATACAACCAATAAGCAACAGTATTTGAAACTTTCTTTTGTGCGAAACTTCCTTGCTGATAACTTCATTGCATTCTTCCTGTGACAATATTAATTATCTACTTGTAAATATATATTATAACCAAAGAATGCCGAAATTAAGTGTTGCTTTAGTAAAATACAAGCCTCATTAATTTGAAATCGTGCTGCCTGCCTTAGTTAACTAAATTTCAATTGAATAAAATTTGCTATCGATCTGATAAAATACTTGTGATGATCACAGACTTGAGCTGCCGTGTTCAACTACCGATAATAATGTGTCTTCATATGAATATATTTCAATAACCAAAAAGTAATACAATAAAAATATTGTACAAAGTGAACAATATTTGTGGCTTGAAAAAAGAAACCATAACTTTACCTGAACAACAGCAAAACAATTCGACTCTGTAATATTGCTAACAATTCTGCCATTTACATCGACCTCTGGTAACAACGACTCCGTTTCTCTCTCGTTTTCAGCTTCTGCTGATTTATAATCTTTCTTTGTCGCCGATTTTAACATCTGGAAACGCGTTATCAAATTTTATTCAATCTGCGACAAATAAAAAATGGTTGAGTTGTAAGCGTCAAAAACAATGCTTTAAAGTGCTAAATTTTTAAGCAAAAAAAAATGTATATATTAAAAATTTATTTGTTAATTGGAAAGATCCTGGCACTTCTACGGCTAATTCATCAATTAAATGAAGAAACTGACAAAAAGATGCAACTAATCTGTACAGATTTATTCGAATCGGTTTCATCATTAATCTGCTCTGAGCTAACTACCTGCAGCTTAATCATCTCTTCCGTTAATATTTTACATGGAATTACAATATCAGTGATAGAGCTTGATGATTGAGCAGTTAAGAAGCATTCGGATGTCACTTCTACTTCAGACATTTTCGGTTGCTCTTTAGGGATTGAATCTAAACACAGAAAAAATAAAAATTGAAAATTTAAGATAAAACTCAAATTATCCACTAACCGTCTTAACGCAAGCTTTTAGTCTGATGAAATGCAGTGACGAACGTGATCAACAATTGTGTCGAAGCAGCAGATTAGAAAAGAGGAGCGCTTAAATACGGTAAAGATAACAGCGGTAATGCGCTACTCCGAAATCAAAATCTTTATTTTTTGAAAATATCTGCGTTGTGGAATGTTCTCAACAAAGTGCAGAAAGATCATCAAAGACAAGGTGAAAAAAATAAGACTTAACGTTTACCTGAGCTCTTCATTCTGCTAAAAGAGTCATCAATATTACTACAGTTGCTGGTGTCACTAAGTGATATGATATCATCGACGGATCTCCCACAAGATGTCAGTTCATTTGAATATTCATTAATTACATTGGCAAATTTCTCCCCAAATGTAGAATCACATCTTGAGTGAAGAATTTTGATCTCATCGGATGGTAATTTTTGTGCACAGATCGTTTCCTGTATTTTTTAAAAAATTCAGCATCTCTCATATATACAAAACTAAATGAATAATATTGTTTCCCAACATCTGAAAAAGTTATTGTTTCATCTTTCTTAATAACTTCAATAAATTTTAAATAAGAGCAGTACCTTATTCATCACAGTCGAGCTGAAGATAACTTCTACTTTCTGATGATTTGCCAAATCCCTAACTTGCTCCTCTGTCTTTATTTTCACCTGATCTGGCAATGTGATAACTTCTAAAACTTCTCCTTTTTCCATGGCTCTTTCAATTGTCAACTTTAGAACATCAACGGAGTCACATCCAGGAAGGGCAATGCGTTTGAAACATTCCTTTCCATCCACAATACTGAAACCGTTCGAAATGGTTCATATGTATTCAGCTGGCATTTTGATAAAAACTTTTTCTATCACATCAATTATGTAATGTCATTGCTCTTCTTTCTATTTACTTAGAAAGAGTTACAGTCGAATTTTTACAATGAAATGACACTGTAATAGCAGCATAAAAAACTTTTCAAGAAAGAAAGAAAAATAGAATGTACAAAATTAAAATAACAAGAATCACCTTGTTCGAACAAGAAGAAAACGAGTGTGATCCCAGGAATTAAGCTTTTCATAAGAGCATATTTCATTATTGACCGAAGCATCTGAAAATACGATTTAAATGCAAAAAAAAGTCAAGAAAACAGAAAAAATTTTCGAAAAGTAAATGCTAACAGCGTCAAAAAGGCAAGTGAGACAATAAAATTATATAATTGCAAAGCTATACAGTCTGATCAAATTTTAGCTTATAATTTTCAGTTTTCCCTACTTCATTTACATACTACTGTTTGCGAATTTAGCACTGAAGTAAGGCTATATCGATACAACAAAAAATGCACCCTCATGATTTGCTCCAATATTTACAGACTGCATAAGAATTTTCTTCACAGCCTCGTTAGTTACTAAATCCAAAGGCGTTTTCCCATCCTTTGCAGGCAACTTTGGATCAAAACCGGTTTGAAGGAGAAGTTCAACAATCTTCGCATGATTACGTCGGGCTGCCCAATGAAGAGCTGTCCTAAAATACAAAACTGCTACATCACTTCGCAAATAAACCATAATTTATGCAAGCTCTGATGGAAAGAATTGAATAATTTCTAGTTTTTTTGTTTCACACGAACCATGAAAATCAAAATCAGCAATAGACAATAAATTCAGGATAAACGAGACTATGATAAAATAATGGTCAAAACTTTATTTTTCAAGAAGAGAAAGCAAAAGGTTATGAATATTCTCCAATAATAGCAATGCAAAGCTGTGCTATAACTTGGCAAGCAGTAATATATCTATATTCTAAACTGATTCGGTATTGCTTATAACTAATTCAAGCTTTACTAAATCAAAAATTTACCAGTAGTAATTTTCCTGAAGTTCATAACTGTAAATTTGAATGCAGCAATTTCGGCATTCTATATAATGTTCACTTCACGTAATCAGTATCATTACAGTCCCACGCTGTCCTTGAGCAAGACAGATATATATAACTGCTTAAAAGTCTGCAAGCACAAGTAGTGTGCTTCTCATGCAATCAGTCTTTAGTTATTTATCTAAGAATTAGAAATTGAATGATGCATCTTTCTACATTTACTAAATAGTAAACATTAAACAAAATCAAAATTATATAGCTGGTTACCGTAATTGGTAAGAAAAATGTGGCAATAAGATGTGAGGGAAAAATTCCTAAATGGAAGCAGTTGCGAGTAACACTTGACGTCATACGTAGTCATCAGCCTTATTTCATAAAAATAAACTTTAATTTTCAATGGTTAGATCTAGTTGGAAATTATAACCTCGAAATGCAAAGGAATTTTGCAGTTTTCGTAAAAATAGTAACATCATATCTTCACTGTAAACGAAATCATTCCGACACTGTTCGATCGAGGACAACATGGGTGAAAATATCAATATCGACAGATATCTGTGAAAATACTGATATTATAATGGCTGATGTCAATTAACTGGACAACTTCATACAATAAAAGATTGATCTGAACATAGACTCTCAGCGGAAAATCAACAAAATACAAAACATTGGAATATCAAAAATCAAAAATCATTGCTTTAGTTTTTGTATTTAGTTTATAAAAAACAAAGAGAAATTATAAATATAGAAATTAGCTGCCAAAAATCAGTGACAGAGAAAAAATAAATCATGCATATAAGTTAGAGTTAAACTTCCGTCAAATGTTTTACATTATAAAGTCATATAAGACAGATTTTCGAAATAAATAAGAGTGATAAGATAGCTTAAAGGCTACTCAAAAAAACAAACAATATTAACAAAAAGCAAAAGAAAACACCAAGAAGCAACTATCTTCTTTCCTTTTATTCTTTCATTAAAAAGCATCATTTTCCGCACTTTTATTAATCGATACTGCAAGAACTTCTAAAATTACACAGGATTTACATTAAGGAATAATAGGTTATTCGATGGATTCAAATAGTTTAATTTTCTTTTATTCTTAACCATGTACTTGCTTACGCATCAACACTAACATCAATTATTAAAATCTACTTATACGAACGTCACTTGCGGCAAGAATTAAACTGAAAAGAATAATAGCGTGCGTAAACACTTGCGCAAAAATGTTTAGTTACACACAGGTAATTATTAGTAAGCTATCTAACAAGTATAATTAATTTTTAATGAAAAAAAAAATATTGTGAACAATGTTCCATGCCGTTTTGATCAACTCTTTAAAAAAAAAAAGATTACTTTTCCAAAATTCAATGCTGTTGAATGAATAGACGAACAATCATAGATCTGTGATTTATGTCAAATTTTCAATAAGCCAAACGGTAAATACTGAGCTTTGCACACAGAAAAAACAGCGGAACACTGTTCCTAGCAGGAACAATAACCTAATTCCAATCCTTATTGATCTTCACCTAATTCCAATCCTTATTGATCTTCCAGTATTACATTACTCAGAAGTTTCTCCATATTAAATGCAAAAATGATGATGTTTGACTTCATTAGTCCAGTGTGTTTTACAAAGATGAATTTTACAACATATGGTTAGAAAAAAGTTATAGTAAATCTGATAAATATTCAAGAAAATTATGCCTAAATCAATGTTTAAGGACTAAGATAACGTTCTTTTTTTTCGTTTTCACAAAAATGTTCATAGAAAATGCCTAAAATATTGCAACACAAGTATAGAAGATTAAATTAGTCTTCGGTAAATGAGAAAAGAATGGGAACAGCACCAACGAGAGCGCAAAAATTGATGATATATGAACCTTAGTGAAAAAGAGAAAATGAATTGAAACATCACATACTTTTACTGAGTCTAATGTTAGATTTTTAAATTTAAAAAAAAAAAATGTAAAGAAAACCAGAGAGATGAATGATGCAAGTCACAAATAAACGAAGATATCGAATTATTTCCGAGTTTTAGGTTATGCCAATGTGAAAAAAAAACATACCACCCGTTGCCACGATGCTGGAAACTTCTATCGATTTTCCCATTCTTCAGCATTTCCTTTGCTTGTTCCAAATCACCGAAACTGCAAACTTCCAAAAAATCCATCTGAATACGATTATTTTCATCCTCAGCCATTCTCAATCCAACTTTTGAACTTACGCGAATAAGTGTAATCGACTGAAAAGAACAAGTGAAATTGGTTGATGTAAAATTTCAATAATATCAAAGATATCATTATGGTATATTTAATTTAATAGAGGCTAATACAATGTGACCGTGCAGTTCGATATATAAAATGTGTACAGTGATTAAATGCTTTTTAAACAACCAAATACATATATGAATGTCTATTCTAACTGTGATGTAAAAAATTATTTCAAGAACTGTTTTATTTGAAATGAATTTTTAGTAATTAGAACAAAGAATAGGGCATTTAATTAGTTAATTAAGTCACAAACATACAAACATGGAATACATAAGATACCATAAATTGTTCTCAGCATTAAAAGTATTTCTTACAACTAATTTTATAACTATCAAAATCTTCCGAATACCACAAACTGTGTAGATAAAATGATAAATAATGGTAGTAGCAAGATAACGTATTTATTTATACCGAAAATACAAAAGAGTAAATAAAACAATTGCTAATTTTAACTATAATTTTGTATATAGTTCAGTAAATCTGAGTACAGGACGAATTGCAAGGTCATTCACTCTTGTTCCTTCTTTTCTCTAAATAACTATCGCAATCTCTTAATCATTCCACCTACATCATCTGGGGAGAGCTATGTGACTGAAGCGGGCTAAAACTATTCAAAGAGGCTTACTTGCTATTCAAATACTGATCACTAACAATCATTACATATCATCAGTCCAACACTATTACTACATAAAATGTCACGATTTTTGGGTGGAACTATTTGTCTCAAATATGCATAAGAATAAAGAGCATTAATAATACCTTGATATTCTATAACAACTTCACTTTGATAGACATAGCAAATGTTGGGAGATCAGAAATGGTTTTAAACCCTTCTTTTCTGACCGCTCGTCGTTTCCGATCTTAGGTCATCAATCATACAATGGCGTTTAACCTGAATTCGAAATATTCAATTCCTGTCGCTGTGACGATGTAAGACCGTCGAGTCAGTCATTTCTTTATGCGATATTTACACTTTCAATCCTAAAAGTCTCTAAAAAACAAAATCACAGATCTATCGTTATCACCATTTAAAAATAGGCAAATATAAATTTGTAATCGAATGTCTGAAATAACCGATAACTCCTCGATTCGTCATCATCCAAAACAGTGTTAATTGAGAGTCACCAGCGATGATAATATTATCAATAACTTCCCTAACAACCACAAGCAAACTGTCAACTGAAATAATGTCAAAGCAATACAGTCAGGGATATCACTTTTCTCAACGAACAGTACAAGTCCAATTTAATCATTGACATAAAATGATAAACAAAAAAAAACTGTTAACGTAAAAATGTGAAACAACATTCAATTTCCTGTCTACTTTTACGTCAAGAAATATATGTTTTAAGTTTCAATTTTGATCGTAAAATTTCAAGAACTGAGTTTCAGGTTTTCCTAATTAAAATTCATTTTCCATTACCTTACCAATAAAAAAAGATTTGAGAGAGATTAATGTTACGACATTCTCTGAAATCCATTCCGGCAGATTAAGCAAAAGCACAAAGACAATCTTTAGAATGGAAAACGGTCGCAATATTCCCAGCGCTTTCATTTTAATGCAAAAAGATCGTTGTCAAACGAGTAGAATACAAACAACGCAAAATATACATGCAACATGCATGTGTGCAAAGTGAGAATGTAGTTGATGTGTTAACTGAGAAATGTGCTAAATAATTTAAGCGGACATCAATACAACTACCGCTCGGTTTAGTCTAAATAAACTGGCAACCAGCCAGGAAATGTTAGCTTGACAATAAAACGCAGTATGACGTGGTTGGAATGTTTTTATTGAGTGAAATATTTGAAGGAAGTTTTGTACCTTTAAATGATATCTCAGAGATTACAGTAATAGGTGAATATCGAGAAAAGAACGCTAAGTGAGAAAAAAAAAAACGAATGAAACAGATAAACGATCCACTCTGTCAAATGCAATAAGAAAATGAGTTCGCCTATAAATCACGAGAATGCGCAAAGAATATAGCTGATTCTTGTCCGACAACAATTTGCGCTTGCCGCATTTATACCAAGAAAAATATTACTAATTTCGTAAAAAAAGGTAAAATCTCTTAACATTTAATTTCTACTATTCATCAACCAATGATAAAATCCTCCACTGATATGCAATATCAAAAAATAAAATAAAAAAACCTTAAATCTATTAAAATCTTTTGGATCACAACTAAATATTTTTCAATTAAACTAAAAAATTAACCTAATAAATAACTCATAGACCAACTTTTCCAACAATGTAAAAGGTTGAAACGTATCTTTCCGCTTTCTCATTCCAACGTATATATAAGTCACGCATATCCGTGAAAGTATATTTCTCATATATATGTATGTAAGGCTTTGTTCAGAAAAGTAAACATAAAGGCGAAAAGTTAAAAAGTCATTTCCAAATCCTGTGAAGTTCAGCAGTGTGGTTTGTAATGTTTCAATGTCGAATATACCGGATTCATTTCAAATCTGCAACATTTTTGTAATGAAAAGAAATTCGACAGACTTAAAGATTATTCTTACAAAAGTAGCAAGTTTCAAGTTGAGGAATACTGAAGTTACTAATTACACTTTCTTATGATTGGGGTCAGTCTAAGGATGATGATCAGAGAGAAACATTGTAATTTGTTAATGATAAATTTCATTGATGAAAAATAATTGTTCAAAAAATAGCGGAATGAGCAAATAATATGGCACGTGGATCAAATTTAAGTTATAAATAATCTGTTTCAAATTTGTTTCAGGAAAAAATCATTGAGTTTTTTCCAACTTAGATATACCTGTAAATTGCTGAATCTTTTTACCATCAAAAAAAGTTAAAATGTCATCATTTAAAATTATTGTTAGCATTTGGATTAAACAATCAATCGAGCTGATCAGTCCTTTCGCTGAAAGTTTACATAAAATGTAAATTAAACCATGATGATATCAGGTTTATAAAAGCAGTCTTCATATGTGTTGCTTACTCTTCCTCCTTTATATCTCCCTGCCCTATGTTTGTGCGATCTCAGGCACTACTCATTTTTGCAAGAACTTAGTGTTTACCGGTTAAATAGTAATATTGAAGGTGATGTGGAGGTCATGGATCGATCTACTGCTATTGTTTGCTCTGTTTCGTTCTTCATACTTATCTAGTTCTGATCAGAAAATAAATCTCTTCAATGAAGATGATTCAAGGTAATATTTTTGCTTCATTGAAATATAATGTGACCTGCTGTGCTGGTAGTATTGTATTTTATTTGGATATTTGTCACCTTGCTTGAATAAAAAATGGTATTTAAGTTGGTAGTTCACGTTGATAAGAAATAGTGAATTGAAGATGAAAGTTCACTTCACATAAAATTACTTCCAGATCTCGTCTTGTGATGCTTGATGGTAATATGTATTTTCATGCTGCACGAGAGAAAAATATATCGTTTATAGCGGGTACTGGTGGCTCAATTTATTTTGGCGAAAAAAATCTTATGTTATTGCCAGAACTGGTATGTTACTTGCTTAACAATCCTCTTCGTATATTTTTTTAGGTAAAATTTGAAATTTATTCAAACAATTCGAATCGTCTGTTTGAAAATACTGAGATTTAGAAAGTCTAATCGCTAACCAATTTCATTTTAGACTGAATCTGAAGTCATGAAGAAAGAACTGGACAAAACTAAGGTAATTTTTATTAATGTTTCATCCAAATCAGTAATTTGTTTCATATTCATGGCTAATTATTTTGAACTTTTCATTCATTTAGGGTCGCGTTCATCAGCTCGTAAGAATGACTAATTTATTCAAGCAACAGATTAAATTGAAAAGTGGCGATGTTGCGGCTCTGAACAGAAAAGTTAGTTAATACTTTGCACTTTAAATCTTGGATTTACAACTCTTTATTAGTTTAAAGAATTTGAGGGAAGCTCTAACTGAATAGTAAATGATTAATTAAATGTGTCTACCTCATTTACTATCCAAAAGATATGATGCAAACCACTTGTGCAGACACATTTACATTAACAACTACTAATGTTCCAAATATAATACCGATTTTTATCACAATGCAACATCACAAAATTTCAAAAGATTGCTTAATAAAATATTCACAACGATATAAAATATATTTCAATCTGAGTAGGGAAGATCAGAAAAATCAATATGATGAAAGGTGAGACGGTGTTTGGAAACTGGGTGAGAAAAATGGGAATGAATAGTCTCAAAAGTGAATTTCTTTTCTTATCACTATCGATGGAAGTTCCGTGTTGAATGAGAGATACTAAGAAAGAGTAAATTTCTTAAATTCTAAATTATGTAAAAAATCCTATAAATATATAATAAACAAGACTACACGTAACTCTGCTATATTTTGCTGGCCGAAATATGTTATCTTGGAATAACATAGGACAATCAATTAAAAAAATTCGTATAGCAGAATCTTTGAGGCTACTTCGTTTTCGAGGCTACAAAATTTCATTGTTTTTCAATTTATGTTATTCCAAGATATTTGCATCAAAACTAATGCAGTGCTTCGACGTTTTCATCAGTGCATCCTTCCTTACTTTTAGTGGTAAATGATAACTACAAACGTGAGTGAATGTTTTGAGAGACCAGTTATTCTTCTAGATTTCTGAAAGCAGTCTGCATTTGTTCCAGTAATTCATCATAATCTTTCTTAATTTTTTGTTCACCATCCTTGACTGGATCTTTGAATTTCATACATGACAGCTCATACATGATGTCACCCATGTGATCACGAATTATTGACCAGGTAATCTTATTTTCAGCTTGTGCCGTTGATTCTACAGCGTGCTTTGCCATATCATAGAAGGCAATCATGTTTTTCAGCATTCCCACCGTTTTGTAGAATGGACAGAATCGATCGTAGGGTGTATAGCCGTTCTGCTGCAAGAAGTCATCCTTGATCAGCTTAGCCACTTCTAGGGTAATCTTATCCGATTCAGCTAGTGAAGCTTTACCCACCAATTGTACAATTTCAGACAAATCTTCTTCTTCCTGAAGAATTTCCTTGCATGTTGTACGTAGAGCAACAAATTCTGGGAAATTTTTGTCATAATATTCATCCAACGCTCTCATATATTTGCTATACGATATTAGCCAATTAATTGATGGAAAATGTTTACGCTGCGCCAATTTCTTGTCCAACCCCCAGAATACCTGAACAATACCAAGAGTAGCCGAAGTGACCGGATCAGCAAAATCACCACCAGGTGGTGAAACAGCACCCACAATAGTGACCGATCCTTCACGTTCTGGACTTCCGAGACATTTCACTTTACCGGCTCGTTCATAGAACGATGCCAAACGAGCAGCGAGATATGCTGGATAACCGGAATCGGCAGGCATTTCACCCAAACGACCAGAAATTTCACGAAGAGCTTCGGCCCATCGTGACGTAGAGTCAGCCATCATGGAGACATTCAGACCCATGTCACGGAAATATTCAGCCAATGTAATGCCGGTATAAATTGATGCTTCACGTGCGGCTACAGGCATATTTGATGTATTAGCAACCAAAGCCGTTCGCTTCATGATTGATGTAGTGACACCGTTGACTTCCATAGTCAGTTCCGGAAAGTCACGTAGTACTTCTGACATCTCATTACCTCGTTCACCACATCCAACATAAATAATGGCATCAGAATTGGAGAATTTGGATAATGACTGTGAAATAACAGTTTTACCACAACCGAATGCTCCTGGAACAGCAGTGGTACCACCTTGGACACAAGGGAACAATGCATCCAGAACGCGTTGGCCACACAATAAGGGGAAATTAGCTGCCAGTTTTTCAGCACACGGACGTGGCTGACGCACAGGCCAGATTTGAAGCATTGTGAATTTGGATTTTTCTCCAGCAAATTCAGTTTCCAACACAGTATCAGTGACGTGATATTCACCACCTGCTGCTATATACGTAATTGTGCCACATGCTGTTGGTGGAAGCATTATTCGGTGGTTGATGAGAACGTTTTCACGCACAAAACCGATGGTATCACCACCCGTAATGTGATCACCAACAGTGAGCTTACGGTTCGGTTCAAACTCCCAAAGTGCATCACGTGAAAGCGCATTAACGTTAACACCTTTGGGAATGTAAATGGATTGTGTTAGATCTAAAATGTCTTTCAAGGGTCGTTGAATACCATCGAAAATGGAACCCATAATGCCAGGACCTAGTTCTACTGATAATGGTTTACCGGTTCGAAGTACAGGATCACCTATTGCTACTGCTGATGTATCTTCGTAAACTTGAATCGTAGCATAATCATCTTCCAAACGGATAATTTCACCGACCAGTTCGGAATGTCCAACGCGCACCAACTCATACATTGCTGAGCCGGCCATTTTTTCGGCTGTTACAACAGGTCCGGAAACGCCATAAACAAATCCGTAGGAGCTCTCTTTAGCATCTTCCATGAAATTAATAGTCGGCGGCATTTTATCTCACACTGATTTTCTGGAATATGAAAAGAGATCAAACTGAAATAGAAAAACTAAAGTCAATCTACGAAATAAGACAACTTTCTTTTGCATTATACAAATAACCAGCTATTAAAACACTATGCTAAAATCAAAGATTTCAACTTAGTCTAGTTTTGGACAAGTATATTTAAAAATAAAGGACATTCAGACGAGATGCAAAAATCCTTCCACGTGACTTTTAGAGCCGTAAAACATAACACATCCACGTACTCTACGAAATGGATTAATGTTGTTCAAGTGTCTAGTTACTGTTTGAGTGTTCAGTGCGAGTGCAAATAGTTCAATAACCAGTAAATATTTAAAATGCCCTTGGTAGTGTTAATTATCCAATGAGAGAAGTGAATTGATATTTTTGAATGAATGAAGTAAGGGTAGGTTAGTGATCAGATTTCATAAACAGAGACAGTACAGCTAACTCAATAACCAGTAGTTGGCACTCCTGTAATATCTCTAACTATAGCTAGTGATCGGATGTTTATAGAATCGTGTTTCTATTACAGTAACTTTCCGAACTATTATTATTATTTATTTTACAAACTGCAAACTTCAATTCTGTAAGTGAGTGTGTTGATTTCAACTAATATATCCATGTAAAGAAGAAAGACTTAAATAAGTAGGATATATTAGAGGAAAAAGGAAATTCAAAAAAAAATAATTAAGCATTAATTAAATGAATGTTTGAGAAACGCTAAACAATTCCAGTGCTGCGCGTGATATTGAAGTGATCTGATATAAGTGACTGATAATAAAAATTTAGCTTAAAGATAATCATGCCAATCCCATTTCTAGGACTATGCTTATTCGAATGAAAAATAAAAAAAAAGGAAACAGTTCAAAAATAGGATGCAAAAATGCCGCTAAAAGAGCGCCATCAAAGCAAAGGTACAACACACGCCACACTATACGACTGATCTTTGTTCTTTTTGGTTTTCAGACAATCGTCTCAGAATCACCTTTAAAATGTTATAGCTCTAAATTATTTAAAAAATTTCGAGAAATTCGAAATGAGTGATATTTTTGGTTCAAATATGCAGGAAAGATCAATATTTGTAATAATATTCAACGGGAGATATATAATTAGAATTTATTTGCACACTTTAACAGTGTGCTAAAGAAGATGAGAAGTTTGGTGTCTGAAAAAGTGAAATGTTAAGATAAAATATCGAACAAATAAAACAGAGAGAAATTATTGCAGGTAAAATAAGTATCGAGAGACTTATTAAAAATTTATAGTATAAGAAGTCTAAAAGTTGGATATACTACTTTCTGATACATTTATAATTCATAGACTTCTGAGACTATAATCACAAGATATATCTGTAATATATCTATAACACAAGATTTATCTACAAGGGAGAAAAATGGAATTTTATTAATTGCATCCCGACAGTTTTTAATGTTTAGATAGCTGATATTATAAAACGTCTGGAACAAATGAATTCAAAAAAGAGAGAAGGAAGTGGACGGAAATTTCGAAATTTGTTAAATGCATTGAAGTCTCATATAGCAGTGTTGGATAATCGCCTGAAAAGGGATGAATGTGCTGATAATCCGTGCAGGAATGGAGCAACATGCATTGATCTGTACAACAAATTTATGTGTTTATGTCCATCTCATTTTGAGGTATTTCTATAATCGAATCATTTATCGGTCGTAAATTTGCTCAGTAAATTAAATGTAAAAGTACTTTCATCTAGAAAAATACTGGCGCTAGAGGACATGGAAAAATTTTATTTTAATTTAAAAATGCAGTAGATATTTTCCAAATTTGAAATCTAAAAAATTTCTAAATTTAAATGCAAAATGCTCAGGGTGAAACATGCGAAAATCGTGTAGACGAATGCAGTCTTTATCAGGGAACACCAGCCGGATGTCAGAATAATGCATCTTGCATTTTGAAATCGAATGGATTTCAGTGAGTGTTTCAGCGAACTACGGGGTTACAGACAAAAATAGTTGAAATGCATACTCTCGATTGTATATTTATATTACATTCTGCAAGATGTTTCTGCGAGATAGTATTTGCAAATTTTGTAAGACGATATTATGCTCGTAAGTTCTGTCACTCCAAAAACTTTCAACGTCATATAACTGATTTAAACGAAGAGGGAGCATTGACATAAACATGAATAATTGTGCCAGTCATTGAAAACAAATCTTTTATTTTAATACGATTTTTTAAGCTGTGAATGCCAGCAAGGTTTTCATGGAACTTTATGTCAGCTTCGAGCAACAGCATGTGAATTTTCATTGGATTTATGTGGCCCTGCTGGACATTGCATACCAACTCAACCGGATCCAGAATCTAATGAAGTGGGTGCTAGTGGTTTATCCATTTGAACAGTTCTGTAGTTAAATCCAGTTTTTTTCCTAAATAAAATTAAGCTTTTAATAATCGCGACAGATAGAATAAGAGTGAAAATAAATATACAAATAATGTTCGAAATTTATGAAATTTTCAAATTTTGTTTTTTCCCTGAAAAGGATGTATTTTTTCATCTGTTTTAGCCTGGTTATCGTTGTCTTTGTGAGTGGGGTTATCGTTCTTCCACTGACAAAAACAATCCGGTTTGTGAAGATGTAGATGAGTGTGAGTCAAATCCATGTTATCCTGGAACAGCTTGTATCAATTTGCCCGGTTCTTTCAAGTGTGCTGCTTGTCCACCAGGATTGACTGGTAATGAATTTATGAGCCATAAGTAATTATATCCTAGAATAAGTTTTATATTTTATCCAATTATTCATTTCAGTTATGAAATGTCGTAACTATCCGTCGAGGTAATTTCTAGTTTTTGGCAGGATATAATGGGCATAGAGATCCATCGGTAATAATAAACTCTGAATGAGAAGTACAATATTATAATAAATATAGCTTAATAGAACTGTAAACAATTTGCTGAATTTTTGTAAATTCATGACACTGACTGTGATAATGAACATTTGTAAATCAGTAGACCGGATCAGATAATGATAAGAAATTATGTACATCAATCATGAACCATATACATCTATCATTAGTAAAAATTAATTGAGCAGCAACAGTGGTTGTAAGAAAAATTATATTGACAGAATTTAAAATTAAATTTTTACATAAATCGTAATCAGAAATTGATAATAATTAGGGAATGGAATGATTTGTTTGGATATTGATGAATGTGCAGATGAGGATCTGGAAACTTGTTCTAAAGACCCGCCAGTGAAATGTATTAATACTATTGGCTCCTATGAATGTGCACCCTGTCCACCAGGTCGGTACTATTTTTTTTATAAACCATTGATAATGATAGTATAGAAATGAGTTTAAATTATTGTAATTTAACGTGGAACTTGTTTATGTATTACTAGCATTTATTATAGGCTATAAGGGCAATGGCCACATTTGTAAAAAGCAGAGCCCATGTGAGCTATCTCCATGTCATTCGAAAGCTAAGTGCTATAATATGGGGATGACCTCATTGAATGAGGAAGGCTTCCGATGTGAATGTCCCGCTGGAATGATTGGTGATGGCATTGGTACTGAAGGTTGTTATCACTCGAATGTAACACTTTGCCGTACTGATACATGCTATAATCAAGGAACATGTCAGGTAAAACATTCCGATTTCTAAAATTAAATTGAACTCCAAACATACGCTCATTTATTTCAAAATTGTTCCCAATATTTTGTAAAAATGGAAGAAGTGCAAATTTTAAAAACCTCCTTATTAATTGAAATATTTCACTCAAACTATGCTTTAAATATAAAATTTGAAAAACCGGTCAAGTATACAGAAATTTTATTTGAGATAATCTCGGAGGAAGAATACAAATGTCACTGTAAATGGGGCTATGTTGGTAAACACTGTGAAGTAGCCAGTGCTTGTCTAAGTAATGTTTGTCGGGGTCGTGGTGAATGTATAATCAAGAAGGATGGATCATCTGAATGCATATGCTTGAGGGGTTATTATGGTCCAACGTGCGAATATGAAGAAGATGGTTTGTTTTCTGGCATTGTTCAATTAGTTCTTTTCATTTTACAGCTTTGTTTATCTACTCAGATTTAATATTTTAGGTTGTGGTGGCCACATAACAAATGCAACGGGTGTAATCAAATACCCAGACTGGGCATGGTATCATTTTGGTCGCAATAAAACATGTGAATGGATCATTACGATTAATGAGCCAAATAAAGTATGTTCTTTATAAAAAGCAATATTTTGATTAAAACTTTTATGCTGTTGGAAAATTATATATTTAGCAATTTAAGATATTGACTGAAACTTCGGATAATAATTAAGATTATTATTTATTCAAAAAAATACATTTATAAAATAGATAAATGTTTGAAGGTGATTGAGATAAACTTTACAAGTTTTCACTTACCAACTAGACCAGCAACATGTGCCACGGCTGATACAAATGTTACTTTACGTGATGGAGATCATGCAAATAGTCCATTAGTAGGCGTATTTTGTGGTCCAAGAGGATCTACCACGGTAAGTTGTCTTTTGTTTTTCTTTTCATTTTTGAATGTTAATCGAATTTAGGTTTTTTTGTTCTATCTTATCATCTTTCTTTGGTACTATTTGTTTTTTTAAGGTTCCAGTTTCTCGTCCAATTTATTTTTCATCAAACAAGGCGTATATTGCGTTTGTTTCTGGTAAAAGTAGTATTGGGATTGGTAATTTTGCATTACAATGGAGGATTGTCGAGAAAAGTAAATTACTTTACATTACTGTCTGCTTATTTTCCAAATTTTATTTCTGTTAGATTTTTATTTACAAAAATTTTGAAGAATGTGGTGAACGAATCTATAGCGATGATGGACAAATATCACTTTATGGTTATGAGAAAAACGAAGTTTGCCAGTGGCACGTTTCTGTTAATCCAAAAATGCATATTGAAATTACCGTGGAACCGATGAAACTTGCTTCAGGCAACATTCGAAATTGCTCAGTAAACTCGCTGGAGGTAAATTATATTTCCCTTACTATCTTATATGTTCAATTTGCTAAAATTTGGATTCTCAGCAAAATTTAAACTGATTTGAAATTCAGTTCTTTGATGGCCTCGAAATTGACGAGACAGAACGCATATTACATTTGTGCAGTAGTGAGTCGACACGAACTTTGGTGCGTACGACACTACCATACTTCACGGTTTACTTCAGGAGCAATTATCCTACTGATTTCCCAAAAGAAGATTGTGAGTTTTTTAAACGTTATGTTAATTGTTATCCATTCTTGGAAATTAATTTTTTTTAAAAGTAATTCATAATCATAAATTACTTTTTCAGGTAACGATGATTCTCTTTGCAGTCGTGGTTTCACTATTCGTTTTAGAACTATTAAACGTATGTCTATAAACATTTTATCCTATGTCTCTCTTAGGACGGAAAAAATTAATTCAATAGATAAAAAGATGAAGCTTTCAGTTGATAAAGATTGTGGGGGTACAATTTTGCCGGATGCTGATGGTTCGTTTGAAGGTTATATTCAATCACCGAATTATGGTTTCAATTATTTTCCAAATTTGGATTGTTTATGGCTGCTTGACGCTTCTTCTACCGCTAATGCAAGTTCAATGAATATCTTTTTATCATGTATAATCCGATCTGAGATATTAGTTAAATGTTAAGAAATAACAAGCGCATGCTCATTTTTTCTAGAAATACGATGAGAAAGTGATAAAAGCGGAAATTGTTGATTTGGATGTGCCTTCTGCTCCTGCAAGATCTATAAAAGGTAAATTCAACAACGTATACATCGTGATGTAGACATTAATTCTTTGAGCTATCTTGCATCCAAGTCAGAGCGGTTCTGTCTGAAATTCTCATTCATTTCCGAACTTTATTCGGTGTCATCACAATCTTTTATTAATTCTTTTTTTTCTCATTTTTAACTTTGATTAATATTTATTTTGATCAAATTGCAATATGATTCAACTAATTCCAGAAACGTCTAATTTTCGATTTTCTCTTTTGGAAACAACCGGTCCATACCAGCGCTTGCTAAATCTCATAAGACCGTGTCGCTTTGATTACATTACGGTAAGTACTCGGATGTGTATTAGTGATTCATTCCTTTTTCATCATTTTACAGCATTTTAAAATTCTAAAAAAGTATCTTCAGGATAGCTTCTAATGAAATGTTTTTCTCTTTTCTCCTTCCGAAAGTGGTGTACATATAAGGTGTTTGTGCCGCAAATATCAATTACATAGATCCCTCAATAATCAGTTCTGCGGATGATTAATTTTCAACTGAAAGTGCTAACAAAGTACCATGGCTTGTAATTCAAATTATAGAGCAACATGCGTGAAAGAGTATTGATTGTAGTATGTTGTGAAAGTTTCTTTTGGAGTTGTAAGGCAGTGGAATAATTGTGATAAGATTTTATTAATTGATGAATAATTTATTTCTCGATCAATGAATTCATGATTAGAGTTGATTGGTGGATTATGTATGGATGACAATATTTATTAGTGATATTGATTGTTCTAGAAGCCTACTGATAGAAGACGTTTTGACAATGTAATTTTTTCATAACTGTTGATAGTATCACCGGTAATATGATTATTAAAGTGTTCGAAAGCACTACGTTGATAGTTCCCTTTGACTCAAAAGTTAAGGAGAACTAAGTAAACAAAACATCATTTGATTGAGAATATTCTAAACAATTTTTGTAGAATAGATTTCTCAATGTAAAAGCACTTCAATAATTTCAATATATTTACATTATAAAATTATTTCAGTTTTTGGATATGAAAACGACTGTTAGGCTCCAAACCAACTATACCATCGATAAGACTTTGAGACTTAAAAGTCGGTAGACAAAAATATCCACGTCTTGATGATAACAGAATAATTCTGTTTAGATTTGTTATACTTATCGATAGCAGAAAATTTCTCGCTTTTTGGAAGAAATAAAAAGTGTGGAGGAATTATGTGTTATTTTTTTGAAGCGAAAGTCCGGCGAACTATGTGTTATTAAATTATTTAATTACTCCCACACTGTAGCAATTTTTATTGTGCTCTTCCATGGATGTTATTAAACATTATGTATATTACAGTTCAGAAATGGTGAAGATGCATCACATCCTATGCTGGGACGTTACTGCAACAGTAAACGACCCGAAGGTCCGGTTGTATCATCGGGGCCAAAAATGGTTATACAGTTTCATTCGAATCAATCCATTAACGGAAAAGGATTCAAAATTTATTATTCTGCTGGTATATACTTTAATTTTAATCCATATAATTCATGACTTTCATGAAGACTGCAATTAATGAACATCAATTATTTAGCCACCAGGCATGACTTGCTCTTGAACTTGGTGTCCCATCGAATGAATTTACCTGATGTTTTCTATCAAGCATCTTCACTTAGCTTCTGAACTAAGGATTAAATTACGGTAAGCTATTTCTAAATCAGTCAAAAAAATCAATTTCTGTAAATTTAAAAATTGATTTTTTCAGTATGCGAAAAGCATTTTACATCACCGAATGGAACCATTCAAAGTTCCAATTATCCGAATGGTAGTAATCAACCATTTAAATGCACCTATGTTATTATTGCTGAAAAAACAAAAGCAATACGACTGAAATTCAATTTTATTGGATTAAATACGGATATTAAAACATGTTTTTATGATGTCAGCAAGCATAATCTATTGGAAGATTATGTCGAAGTTAGTTTTCTCACTAGTTATAAACGGGAATTTGAGTACTAATATTAAGAAAGGAATGGAATTGGAACAAATTATGAGGATGATGATAAGAAAATGAAGATAATTGATGATAAGAAAATGAAGATAAGTGATGATAAGAAAATGAAGATAAGTTTATTATATCGGTGGTCTTTATTTGCGTGAACACAGAGATATGTTTGCTTTTAACCAAAGCTTTTCTTCTCTTTTATTCTTACTCTTAATCATTCATTCACAGTAGTTTGAATAAATGACGCAATGATAGCAAAAAGTATGAAGACCAAAGTTAGGAATGTATTTTTTACTGGTGTGTGAAAAAGCAATTGAATATATGACATTATCAGTAATAGGAACAGTTTAATATAGGTGAGCTATTTCTATTTCAATCCGATAAACTTATACCACATCACTTATCATTCTCTTGCTAGATTATTTCTCTCTGATTAACTGTTTACTTAGAATTAAAGTTCAAATTTTTGAAATAAGAAATTTCTGCTAAACTTTGATACAGTTCAAAATGAACATATCCACTCAATGAATAGCAACCAATCGTGAACTTGACATTCCTTAAATGGACATTTTTGAAGTCCTAGATTTCTTTGACCAGGTTGGAGCTAATTATTAGATAGGCCTAGAACAATTAACATGTGGAAAATAGAGAAACCGAATAAAAGAATAACTTTTCTAAAAAATTGAAGCAAGAAAATAGCATTGTTCTAGACTACCTAGATTAGAGCTAGAAATTTCAGATTCCCCATTTTTTTTGTTGGAATCAAAATCAATTTTTAGTTGAAAATTGAATAATGATGAGTAATTTTATCGTTTGCAGATGCTTCACATGAATTGGATATCAATAGGTTCTTTATAATAAGTTTAAATTATCTTTCAAGTACTTAGGATTTACATGATAAAATTTTAATATGTTTTAGTTAAAATTTTATTGTATTCTTCAACTATTTTTTAAAACATTTAGATAACTTTCTAAAAACATTTAGTTTTCGGGTGGCCATGATTCACATGATCAGATCAATAAACGATACGTTTGCGCTCGATATCCTTTTGTTGCACCCGACGGAGAAATGGTATATGTATATATTTTTTCAGATTTCATTTTCTTTCACAGCATTCATAAACGTCAATTGTTTAGGTTACAAGTGCTTCAAGGCCGCTAAGAATCACTTTGAGTTCAAGTGGAATTGCTAATAAGGGCATATTTTTCTTATACGAACAGTTTGATATAGGTATTTTATTTCCCTTGAACTTGGTAAACTCATCTATAAATATACCACATTTTAATTGTCATTCTATCATTCTATCAGATTATTTTTTCTGTATTTCTAGAATTAATTGGAACAAAAAATTCTTGTTAAACTTTGGTGCAATTCAAAATGAGTATCATTTAGCATATTTTTTTCCTTATTGCAGGTTGCGGTGGAGTATTTGAAGGAGAATCAGGCCAAATAACAAGTCCGAACTACCCAGAAAAATATCTGGCGCATATGTACTGCATATATGTGATTAACACACTGGTATCCTTACTTGGTTCAATTTTTGAAATATGATTGAATATTTCAAATAAATTTGTTGAAAGGTTTTTGTAATTTAGTACCATTTAAAGGGAAAACGAATTCGGCTGACATTTCGAGTATTTGAATTAGAGGTTGTACCGAATCGAGAAGATTGCTCCTTTGATAGCATCGAAATTTATGACACCTATGTAAATGAAAATGATCACAGCAAATTACATGGAAGGTATGCAAACTTTTGCAGCAACTTAAATATTGATTAGAAACTAATTTGACTAACCTAAAAATACAATCAATTTAATCCTACCGAATTTTTTTTCTGGATAAATTGATAGGAATTGGTATCTTTCTATCTTCATTCAAGAATGAATTATCTTTTCAGATTTTGTGGCACATTACTTCCGCCTCCAATTTTATCTACTGGAAATCGGTTAACCGTTCTATTCAAGAGCGATCGTTCAGTAAATGGCGCTGGTTTTGTGGCCAAATGGCAAGCTGTTGATGATAAGGTATAGTAATTTTGTATAGATCATTTTTTATAGATCTAATTTTGTATAGGTTAATTTTGTATAGATTTTTTCCATTCTTTTGTCGACTTTTTTTTTCAGTTTTGTCTAATCTTTTGAGACATTTTTTTTTTAGTTTCTGCTTTATAGTGTCATAGAGCTCCGAAGTTATTCGGTAGAATAAATCAATTCGATTTTATCCAATGATTTTGTGAATATTTTAATATTTCTAGACCGATTGTCACAGAACATATACAGCCACAAGTGGTAGAATTATAATTCGTGCCGAGACAGAGATGAAATTTGTGCAGTGTGACTATCAGATTGCGGTAGGTCAATTCAAACTGTTTTTGGAGATTGCATTTTCATTTCAATAAATATTCTTATAACGATTTTTTTTCTTTTGTTCATATCTCTGCAATTACAGTTGCAATCTTCGAAAAGGATTCTTCTTCGGTTTGAAAATATATCAGCTCCTTGCGATGAAGGAACATTAATGTTGAGGTAATAAAATAATTTTACCAATTTTTTCTGAGGATTATTTATAAGTTTGTGTTTTTTCTTGCCTAAGAAAATCCGAAATAAATAAGCCAATCACCATTTTTTCTTATGTTTATTTAACTTCTTTATTATCATTATTTAAGGAATGGAGTAAATGAACAATCGCCTGGTTTTGGTGGACTTTTCCGTGATTCTGAAGTATGTGATGATCATTTCGTTAGAGAATTACGCTCTCAAGGCAATCGTGTTTTTATGCGTCTAACGACAAGAAATGGGCCTTTAGTGATGTTCACCATTTATTACCAACAAATAGATTCTGGCTAGTTTATTGTTTTTCGATATTTTGGGAAAATTTTCCAAATGAGAATTTTCTCGGATTTCTTTCGGTTTTGGTTTGGATAAGCTCAGTTGAAGTATTCTGCTCTTCTAAAATAATATGAAGGGAAGAACTTTGCAGATTGTGGAGGACGTTTGGATGGTTTTAATGGTGCTTTATCAGCTCCACAATATCCACTAAAAGATTCGCGGACTTTAAACTGTGACTGGCATATCTCTGTTGCTGAAGGTTCTGATATATATTGGGAGAAAGAACTTTTTAAGATTTTATTTGAATATTTGATAGTGTTACATATGCTTTGCAGGTAATCGAATCCGCTTCACCATTACAGTGCTTGATGATTTGAATTCAGCTGATTCAAATGGCTTTTGTTCATCATTTGCTCCAAATTACATTGATGTATATTATCCCTATCATTTCTGAGGATATTGCTGTATTGTAGTATATTTGAGAGAGAATTTTCTCAAAATTTCAACTATAATTTGACAAAAAGATATTATTCTTTAAAGAAGAAATCAAATTTGCAAAATTATTATGATGAGATATTACATTAATTAATAATATATTAAGGTTGCTGAAGGTTCCTCGATATCTGCACGTATACTAAGGCGTTATTGCAAAAAAGACATTTCATTGTCATCGGTTGATTCGGAAAAGAACGAATTAACAATTCGATATCGTCAACATGGTGGAACCCATTTTGGTTCACTTTTTGGATTTCTTGCATATTACACTACTGGTTAGATTTCTAAAATCATTCATTAGATTTAATTTTAACTGATCTACTGAGAATTCATAGAAATAACTTCCATGTTACTTTTTGTATGTCGCATCAGTTACAAATCTATCCTAAATAAAAATTTCATATTAATTGTTTTTTTCAACAAAGTTACAAAAAGGCAAACAAAATTTTTAATTTATGTTATTTCATGTGTATAGGTATTAATTGTATAGTAAACAGTACTTAAAAGTCTAGAAACTTTAGTGAAATTGATAATATTATAGTATGCAATGAAATCTTGTTGTTTGGCCAACATGGTGTCCTTCAAAGTCCAGGTTACCCAGAACGAACTCTTGAAAATCGTTTCTGTAAATGGCGGATACAAACAACAAAAGGAAATCGATTACGATTGATCTTCCATTTCTTTAGAATTACAGAATCCAATACTCGTTTTACATCGTCTTGTCGTATCAATTATCTTGAAGTAAACTCTTCATTCAATTTCAAATTTCCAAGAATACCTTATCAAAATTGAAATACTCTACTTCTTTTTGCGTCTGATATAATTTTCTCAAATTATTTAGGAAGAGATGAGACTAAAATTAATTGGTTTCTGGAATTTTTTATTTGTTTCCTAGGTAAAAAGAGAGCCAAATATATTTATTTACTAAACGAATTAATTCAACGCTTGAACTACTTTTTATGCCTCGAATAGAAATGCTTTCAAAACTCATTTTACCAATGGAATTTGCTTTTTTTGAATCATTTTATTAAGGAATAAGTTTGGGATAATCAGCTTTACATAATCATTAAGTGAAATCAGAACTTGCATCAATTTGAAGAATGGTCAGCTATGAAGTTATTAGGAAAAATCCTTAGTGAAAATTGAAAAGTTATTATCAATTATCATTTTTATTTAATTATTATCATTTTCTAGTTTGGCGAAAATCAAATATTGGAATCCTCAATAACAATCGGTGGTCAGCAGAACCACACAAAAACAATGCAAAAATTCTGTGACAGTGTCGGTAAACCAATTTGGATTTTAACGAAGAATGAAGTGATCGATATTACATTTTCTTCAAAAACCGAACCCGAGAATCATTTCTGGCTTTCATGGTCAAATGAAGGTACATTAAAAATCAAGTGTAGAACGTTTTTATAATTGAAATTTTGATTTCCCCACCATTACATATTAGTTATTTGTGATAATCAAATCTTAATGATCGATATAATTAATAGTGATATTAATTTTTTATGCGTCTGTGAAGTATTTATAACATAAAATGGTGCATTGCTTAGCTTATAGACATTCTGATACTGAGCGGTATAAGTACTCAAATCAGAAAGACAAAATAGCTAAAAAAATTTCTTTTAAGCCACTGCAAATTTCTTTTAGGTTGTGGTGGTGACATTACTTCACCAATGACTGTAATTGTTAATATCGAAAAACTGGTAAATAATTCAAAAATTTACGAATGTACATGGAAAATTGTTGCACCTATTGGAATGCGAATACTATTTCATATTGAGAAACTTTCAATATTTGAAATTACTAAAGGCTGCACTGAAAATGATGTGGAACAATTCAGCGGTCTTGCTGTAAGTATAATCAGCAATAATTTTTTAATTAATCAGACAAAGTGTTGATGAACCTTAGTTGAAAATGCAAATTAAAAAATAAAAATATGGAGGAGATATTGAATTTTATTTTAATTTATCATTATAATGAATTGCGTGGAATTCTGGAGTTAGATTTTCTTGAAAAATAATTTTGGTTATTTAAATTTATTAATATTAATTTACAAAATTAAACCATGTTTCAGTTTTACTCAGGTACAAGCAATGCAACCGGTTTTGCTCAAAAAGTTATTTGTTCTAGTAGGGAAGAGGACAATTATACGTCACATACGAATGAATTATTTGTAAAATTCAAAATTCCCAGCAAACTTGCTAAACCAGATATGAAAAAACATATCATGAGAGGGAAAATATCATTCATACTTGCAAAGACAGATGATGAATGTGGAGCTGTTATCGAGAGTAAGGGATTTTTTTTGCTGAGATAGTATAATCAAGAATGTTTGATGTAACTCAAAAATTGTTACACGTTACAAATAAAATTACCTCTCTTCACCGTGATTTCAAATTGATTTTAGAATGCAAATTCGCTAAATTCTTTATCTTTCTAGTAATTTAGTTGTCTACTAAGGAATGACAAATTTGGAGGTGCATACCTTATTTCATTTTTTTTTTTAAAGTTTTTTCTTTAAAAAATCTTCAAAGAAAATTTTTTTCTTCAAAGAAAATTTTTTTCCGTCAAAGAATAATAAGACAATTAGCACTGTTAATATTTATCATTATAAGACGGAAATAAGGGATTGTTTTTTAAGTGAAACGGAATAAAACGATTCAATTACACTCACCAAATTATCCAAATATTTATCCGAAATCAATTGAGTGTATTTGGTTGATAAAAGCACCAAATGGCTATTCGATTCGGTTTAATTTAACGCATTACACGACTTTAAATTATCATCCTCAACGACCAGATATAAAAACATGGAGTTCGAACTTTGCTGCAAATATTACGTAAGTTTTTCTTACAAAATATTTCACTATTAACTTTTATTTGTTCAATTAAAGGATCTTCCCACCTGTTTTCCTTATTTTCACCGATATTTTATATATTGCTAATATTCTAAATATAAATCAAATATTCATTTGAAATGTTCGATGCAGTATTTCAGTTGAATATTTGGTTTCATATTTAATTTTCATTGTTTATTTATTTATGCTCATTTTAGGTGCCAAAACTCGCAAAGTATGCTTGAAGGGTCGATAACATTTTATAATGGCAATAATACGTATGCTTATTTTTCATAATTTGCTTAAAATATATTTTAGTCATTTATTATGTTTTAATTGCAATAAGCTACAAGCTGCTGCAATAAAATGCAATTTATCAATTCTATCAATAAAATTGTGTTTGGTTAATCTTCCACTTGTGATTAATACTAAAAATATTAAAATTTTACTACTCAAAATAAATTTCAGTAATGCGGAAATATTGGAACGTTTCTGTCACAATTTGAAGCAACCGGAAGTTGTTACTTCAACAACCGAACAGGTTACAAATTTCTACATGTTTAAATTTTTGTATACTAACGAACTTTTTCAGTGCAAAATAAATGTATTTTAGGCACTGATCACTTTCCAAGGTGGTCCTTATGAACGAGCATATTTATCTGGAGATGATGAGCGTGCTCATAATATCGGTTTTGTGTTATACATATCTTTAGCGTGTGGTGATACACTGCATGCCGAAAATGAACTTAAAACATTTCAAATGCATGCTATCGGAGAAGACGAATGCAAATTCCTTATCAAAGCCAAAGGTCTTCACGTTTGAAAAAAATGAAATCAAATAAGATTGTATTGTTATATTTGATGTGATATGCCTGCTTTGTCGTTCTTTGAAATCTAACTTTTTTTTACAGATGGACAACGCGTATACCTTCGTCTTGATCAGTTACGTTTTAGCAAACATAAAACTCTTAAAGCTAGCGGTAAAACTAACGCTATCGTTGCCATCTATGACGGAGCACAAGAGGACGCATCCATTCTTGGAATGCAAGTTCTTCTGTATTCTCTTGTTTTGATTGCGGTTTTCAGGAGTTTTCTCTTTCTGATTAAAACAAACATTTTGAAAAAAATAGCAAAATGAGATCAATTATAATATAATAAGTCTGGCCACTATTTAGGTAATGAAATAAAAATTTCTAATCATTCATATGGATAATCTTTTGAAATTAAACATTTTTGAGTAAAAAAGTAGAGAAAATGTTTATCTAATCGATCTTTGCTGCATGTTAAATTGCCGTAAATTAGTGAATGAAGTTTGTCTATTGGTGTTGGTAATAATTTTAACAATCTTTTCCTGCACGTAAAAAGAAGTTCAGTTTGATTTTCATTATGAAAATCCGCCCTTTCTCCACCTTTTTAAATTGTTTTTTAAGAGAATTATAATAATGAATATAAACGCTGCAAATTATTATATAATTTCAACTGTTATAAAAAATAAAAAAAACAACACTAAACACTAAGGAATTTAACGTGGAGTATACTTTTGAGGATGGACTTTATAATCGAAATTATCGAGCTCTGATCTTGCTTGAACATTCTTTGCATATTTCAAGGTATCATCTTGAATGCAATCCTTCAATCTCAGAACAAATGTCACGTGCATGTGCTAATCGTGAATTACGTTCGACAGGCAGTATTCTCAGAGTACATTTAAAGGGATTGCATTTGGAACACATTCACTTCTCTTATTCTACGGAGATTGAAAGTTTGTTTCTTTTTAATTTTTCATCTTTTAGGGCAATATTTATTGCTTGTTGAAAATTAGATGATAATTGCAAAGTTGTTTAGCTTGTGGTGGTACCATTCATTCGATCAGTGGAATCATATATTACCCGTTTATTGAGGATGATTTTGAATGTGAATGGTTCATCAATAATACAGAAGGAAATAAAGTGGAGCTCGAAATCTAGTATTTTTTTTTCTTTTTAAGCATTTAATGTTTCTGTTATTAAATGAATTTTTATTTTATTATAATTTACTTCATCGCATATTTTTAGTATTACCTTTGGTTAATTATGTAAGCTTCAATTCTTACAAAAAAAAAAAGTTTAAAAAGTGAGAGTTAGAAATTTTGAGGAGAAATCTAAATTTTTTTAAAAGGTCCAGCAAAATTGAATTTTTCAGCAAATTGAAATTACCTTTTTCGGAATATTGCGCAGAATCCTATTTGGAGGTACGTAAAAGCAATAGTAGCGGAAAAATTGTGACAAGAGGTTGTTCCTTGGAAGATGTAATGCCAACGATGACTGTAAGTTAATTTATCTGACTTTTTTTATTTTCAAAAGAAAAATCTCAATGATTTATTCAAAAAATTTCTACACTTTTGAATAATATTGCAAATAAAAACTTTCCACTTCCCTTCTTATTGTTTTAATATTGTTTCAACTTCTTATTGTTTCAATTTACTTTATTGACTCTTATGCTCATGTCACAAATTACTTCAACCCATTATCTCCTTGATTTTCTCTCTCTTGTAATCCCCCCTCTCACAATAACTATCATAGTTATAGTTAGAAAATGGTTTTATTGAAATGCCTTACTTTTCATTTCTTGCTCATAAACAAAATTGTAAAATCTCATATTTCCTAATTTTTGACTAAAATCAAGGCGTGAATTTCACACTGTGAATATCGTATCATTTGAAAATACCATGAAATGTATTTTAGTAATTTATTTTTAGAGTCGAGCGTTTTGGATAAGACTGAGATACAGTGGCAGTGAGGATGACAGTAGTGATATCGAAGCATTAAAACCGGAATTAATGATTAAATTTAAAAAGGGTTATTTTTTAACATATTTTGAGAATTATATTTATTAATGTTATAGCAGAGTTTTTGTATCTTTTATTGTTTTCTGATGCAAACTTATCCCAGCATTACTATGAAGAATCAATGAATCCATCATCTTGTATGATTGAGCATTGGAGTGCGTTTATCATAATTATAACATAATTCTGAAATTCAATAGTATTTTATCGGAATTTCACCCATATTTAGCAGTAATTTTACTGGTTATAAAAACGTAACTATTTAAAGGATGATATTTAAAATAAGTATGCAATAATCGTTGTTATTTAAAATCTACTCTCCTATCGTCATCAACAAAAATGCTTATAAGCCGTAATTGTTATGAGCATGCACTGTGTTGGCTTTCTAGTGTTTGGCGGCGTGACAAATGACGCAGTAGTAAGTTCACCTGCAACTGAAGATTGGAAATCAATGAATTTTGCACCACTGGAATGGACACTGATTGGTGAGGACGATCATTGGTTAAGAATTTCAATCAAAAATATTGAAATACCGGATGAAAGAGATGAAAATAATATGGATATCGAGCAGAGGGATGCTTTGAAAGGACTTGTTGTAAGTAATTTAATATTTCTGGTAAAATTCATGATTTCAGATATATGCAATGTTTATATATAATTTCAATTCCTGATTGGTGAAGTAGAAATTTTATATACCTCTGCTTCCAATGCTTCTTAGGCTGATTTATTTTTATTTTGTTCATTTAATATCATGAATAATATGAAGAAACATTATAGTTCAATGAAGGGATTTGCACGTTGAGCGGTGATAACGATGGTTGTGGACGAGTGGAATTTGTCCATGCGGGATATATACCACCAAATGGTATTGGAACAAATTTAGTTTTATCAAAATTGCTTCATTTGAGAATCTAATTTCAATGTTTCATTTCTTATAAACATTTTCAGATTTCCTTATTAAATCACACTTGGCCACGGTTTTATTCAATGCACCACCGGGAAGCTCATTTCGATTTATTTGGGAAAATATTCCAGTTGCTATAGCTAATGCTTCACTTCCAAAAATAAATCATGCAATTACTGAAGGCTTCATGCATGGTAAGTTTTTTAGTTTTAAAATTATCTAGATTTGACTCTTTAGGCAAGAAACTAAATCTTTTTTACTCGCTTCTTTGAAATGAACAGAGTTAGTTATTTAATTCGAAACATCTATTTAAAAAATAACCGATTTTTTAAGTATCTCAAATCGGAAATAATTTATCAATATTTGCAAAATACATTATTACAGAATTCACTTGCGGTGGCACCCTTACGGCAACATTTAATTCGCAGTATCTTACAAATCCGGGTGGAACGTCTACAGACGGTAAATTCACAACCGTCCTTCCGCCTACATCAACTGCAGGAGTATGGCGATCTATTAATATCCATCGCTTCTCGAGATGTTAGTTTGCTACAAATTTAAATTTCTGCCCGCAGTTTTACTTTTTTTTGATATTGTATTTGGAATACTCACATTCCATTACAAATTTATTGCAATTTGTGATAGGATGAATGTCAGTGTAATCGGCGTACATCAAGCGAAGTATTTTATCACCATCCTAATCTATTTCGTAATATTTTCCAATTTTGCTATTCGAATTAGTTTTACATATTTTTTATGAACATAAATTAATTATAGCTTGATTTTATAAATTTAAACTGATATAGGGAATGGAGGTTACGCGAATAACTTAAAATGTCGATGGACAATAATTCGACCAATATTTGCCGGTATTATGCTTAAAATAATTTCAATGGATCTTGAGGAACATGCAGATTGTCGTTTTGATTATGTTGCCATTTCATCGGATTTAGGCGGTGTTGATTATGAGGATGGACAACTTATGTAAGTTTTGATATTGTTTTGAAGGTGGAAAAATTTTTTAACTTCTCTAAGAATTTTATATAATGATTTGCAGCGGTAATGTTGCTAAATTTTGCAAACACAAGGATGTGGGAAAGGAAGAGTTATTCACCTCGGAAGAAGCTGTTACAATCTTTTTCTTGACAGATCGGAATAGAGGAGGTCGAGGATTTGTCATTGAATACAAACTGGGTAAGTTTAAAACTATCCAATTGCGTTTTTACTCGGATATCTTTTCTAAAGCAAAGGTATAATTTTTCCAAGTAAAAGTATACTTGGAAATATTACACTATAGAAAAATTCAATTTCGATATTTCAATTGGCATGCAATGGGTAAATACTGATGTATTCTTTTTATTCATTTAATTTATAATTGAATTTTTTTTATTTCATGAGAGTACCGCTATACTCTTGCGGAATTTTTTTGTTGCAATTTTACAAATCAAAGTAATTGTGAAAATTTGCGATTAATTTTAATTTTTTTTTTCTTAAAAACTGTTTATATGTTTTAGTTTGTCAATCATTTGATTACCTACCAGTATCTTTGGGTGTTTTTGACCGGGTCGTGCAAAGTCCAAATTATCCCAATGAATACGGTAACAATTTGTCATGCTCGTGGTCAATCATGCTGGAAAGTAATCGACCAATTTTGGCCAAATTTCTTACTATGGATATTGAGGATAGTCCGTTGTGTAGAAAGGATAGCGTCATTGTGGTAAAAGTTCTTTATGTTCCACTGCTTTTATCGTGATGATATTGAAGGAATTCTCTTTTTATGACATTTATAATTTAAAGAATTTATTAATGTTTTTTTATATTTATTGATTTTCCTGAATGTCTTACAAAAACTAACTTTTTTCAGCGCTCCAATCCTATCTATCTGGATGAAACAGCTAATGATAAATTATGTGGCAGTCTATCTGAATGGAATAAAACTTTCTCAAATGGAAGAATTGTTATTGGCTTCACAACTGACTCCAACACTACCGGAAAAGTTGTTTATATTTGCTTTTTCATCATTTTACGCGTCATCTAAGTTAGAAGGGATGAATAAAAGAATATGCCTTTATTCTAACATGCTTATATTCACTTGATCCAATTCTCATTCCTTCTAAGTTAGACTTCATTTTTCATTTCAAGTATTAAAAATATATCTGCATTTTTAAATTATATTTTAATGGTTTAAATCTACAAACACAGGGCTTCGCATTGCAATTGACAGAACAAATTCATGACTGCAGTTCAGATGGGCTTATCTTAACTGAAGGCGATCCTCCAAAAATACTCAGTTCACCAGGATTTCCAAAAAGTATGTGGACATATTTTATATTATTTAAATCCTAATATATTTCGAAAAATATTGTTGCAAAATCGTAGGGAATATTTAAAAAAATTATTTTGCAGCATCATTAAAATCTTTGGACTGCATTTGGACAATCAGCGCATCCAGCGGGCATCGCATAAAATTTACTGTTGATCCAGTCAGTTTCAATCTTGAAGAGAGTTCGAGGGAAGATGGGTATGCATATCGATTAGGAAATTTAATTTGACCGAGATTGTTAATTGATATAGTCTGAAGATCCCTCAAATCCCTCAAAAATCCCTCAGAATCCCTCAAAAATAATTCTAAAAAATGGTATCTCGAACTGGCAAAAAAAGGAACTTAGAAAAGTGATTTGATATATCTCTTTTCACCTCAAATTTTATTAAATAATTGGCAAAAATTACAGATGTTTTGGTAATTACTTGGAAATTCGAGATGGTCCTTCAAAATTATCGCGGTTAATAGGGCGATACTGTGGAAAAGAACCACCAAGTACTATCTTCAGTACCGGATCCTATCTAAACATTCATTATCGAACAGATCCATTTGCTCATTTTTCGGGCTGGAATGCTACTTATGAAATTGGTACAGCGTTTTTAAAAAAATCTTTACGACCAGAATTTTATCATTTATCTTAAAAATAGTTGAAGTGGAGATTGAATTAAAATTTTAAAAGGTTTGAAATTAATATTTTTTTAAAATTATAATTGATCTTTTCAATGTTAATACTAACTTCAAGACTTTGATTTGATTGTTGTAAAAAGTTTTATGGGTTATTGATTTCTTATTTGCTTTACTTTCAGCATCATGTGGAGGTAGTGTTGTTATTGCTATGAATGAAAACCGTGTAATTACTAGTCCTAATTATCCTGAACCTTATCCGAGTCAAACTACCTGTGATTGGACTATATTTGCTCCACGAGGACATTACGTCAATGCAACGTAAAAGTTTAAACACTTAGCTTAATATTAATTTATCAGGATAATTGCATTATAATTTATAATTGAGATCATCGTGATTTAATCTATAGGTTCGATCATCTGTGGATTTTATTTACTGAAAATTGCACGGAAGACAGTATTGCTATACGAGAACGAGATGGTACTGGTTAATATTACTAGTCTTATTTGGATAGTGTGTCCTATTGTATATCTGAAATTTTGTTACCATATTTCTGGCCTCATTTCTTTTTTTGAAACGAAAAATAAATATTAGGCGAATACATTCTGAAACCGACATGTGTATCGAACGCAATACGTGGTAAACACTTCACATCATCTCAAAATATTATGGTTGTTTCATTCCGATCAAACAATACTGTGGGCCGATCGAGTCGTTTGTTTTGCTTGGAAAGGAAATGCGGTTTTCATCTTAGTTTAGTTCCCAGCAAAATAGGTATTAATTTTTATTTATATTAAATTTTTTTTATACCGACTTCTATAAATACTGATTATCGAATTTTTTTTCTTACAGAATGTGGAGGAGATATAAGTGATAGTTCTGGCTACATTACCATTCCCGGTTATCCGGATCAGCTTCAGGCACACATTGTATGTGATTGGATATTTCGAGCAGGAATTGGCTTCCGTTATGTTTTCGACTTTGAATTCGTCAAGCAAGAGGTAAATTTTCATGGGATTAACAAATGGTGATTTGATAAAATTTTAAGTGTTAAAATACTTGGAATAGCCTTATTTTTCTTACGTCATACGATGATCATTTTTTTAATTGTTTGATTTGCATTTCTTCTTTTATCATTTATTTTTATTTCTTTTTTCATTTCTATGATTTAACGATTTTGTTCTGCTTCAGTTTCATGTTCAAAAAAGAATAATTTTGATTTATTGCATAAATTTTTTTTTTGAAGAATTTCTATCAGACTACATACAACGAAGTTGGATGTTATCCGGATATCGATATTGCTAATGGTTTGAACAGATTGGTAGATTATTATGGTTTTGTGAATCGTATTTTTTGTTCGAATGAAACACGATTTGTATCGACAGCAGATTTAATCACGATGCGTTATAATGATCGAGCTTCTATGTATGAAAAACAAAATATGCGGGAACGTGGAATAACGTCTGAGAAAATTTATGCTCCGTTTCGAATCTCCTACTTCAAGGTAATGTTCTGTTATTACTATTGTACAATCTTATAATATAAATATATTGCACCAGCAGTTAGAAAATTAGTTGGAGGATCAAAATCTCCGTTTTGACTGCTTTTTAATGAGCAGTATTCAACATCTTGTTATATATCTTGAATTTTTAAAATTACTTTTCGATCCTTGAAATTTGTCAAAATCCGTCAACCAATGTAATAGTACTTGATTCATTTTCTTGAAATATATCAAACTGAGAAATGATGACAAACTACATTTTTACTATAAATCGAATAAAATATGTTAACTATTGCTTTATTTTATACTTTTTTATATGCAAATAGTTATATGTGAGAAGCTAAACTTAGTTCTACATTGCAATTTTATTCAATAATTTCACTTGAGGTGCCAGCTGAATTCGATGAAAATGTGTGCATGTACCACGTGAAAAAAAATGAAACAATTGAAGTGAAAAGAGCAAAAGTTTCGAGGCATCCAATCGCCACATCACCTGACATCGGTCATTATTCTTTAATATAAAATGATCAGACATGCTTCATTCGCTTTTCAAATATTTCGATGATTAATATTTGATGATTACTGTTTTATTGTATTCCGTCGGAAGAGCACAAATCTTTAAGGAAAGAATTAGTTCACTGATCGTAGAATTAATTTTGCATTGTTATATAAAATTTGGCATATCAATAATTTCAGACTACTGCCATCTACTCATAGACCGGCAATTTCTGGCGGGCACTACAGTATTACATTTTAATAATTTTTCATCCTCTGAAAGCTCATTTTGGAATCCTAATAGTAGATGCTTGGATACTGAAAGCTATGTGCTTATAACAGGTAATTAATCTTTCTAATATAAATTATATTTTCCTATGCTTGATGTTTACATTAATATTAATTGAAGTTATTCGGAAATTCGTAAATGTAATGTTTTTGCTTCAGTATTAATAGCATTTTATACAGTTTAATATCTTATGTTTCCAATAAAAATCAGCGGTAATGAAATTAATTAACTTCCAGTGTTAATATTTTTAACTATATTAGCCATTAAATAATTTGTCAATCATTCAAGGATTTGAAAATTTTCAGCGCTTGACAGTGAACCATGGCCTTTCGAAGCACGCTTTTGCGACGCATCCTTAAAAAAAACTGCTAATTTCACGGTGGCACTGCCATATAGAAGTTTCGATATTCATGTTTTTCAAAGATTGCACTTGTCATCAATCTCTTTCAATCTCACCGTCCAGTTCTTACGTAACTTTTGCTCGACAAGTTGTTCTATCATCATTTTCATTAACATAAAATTTTTGCATTATCTATAATATTTTTTCTGTATTTTTTCTCACAAGTTAAATGAAATGAAATTATTTCAGCTTGCGGTGGTTTGATTCAAGGCCCGGAATCAGGTATTTTAACAAGTCCTGGTTTTTATGGAAAGGAGAATAGCACTTATGAACCTGATACACAATGCATTTGGAGTTTGAAAGCTCCCGAAGGACGAATTGTTAAGGTTCGATCAACGCTTGTAGAAAAAAAAATCATGAAAATTTGTGTGACCGCTTAGGGATGATGATAAAGAAGCATGCGGAAATATAGTAAAAATAGAAAAGAATGTAAGATAGTTTAGGCTTAACTTGGTATGCTCTCTTCATAGTTCCTTGGCTTGGAATATCTCTATTGGATCACCGATTTATTGATTTTGCTCTAGTTTCCGATCTTAATATGATACTAATAAAACAAGTTAAAATTAAAGGAAATTATAGATCAAAATAACTGATATGGATTTGGAATATAATGTGGAATGCAAGCATGATTTCTTGAAACTATTTGAAGGTAATTATTTGGAATTGTATATTTGTAGTAAATATCATATAGGATTTTCTCACAGAAGCTTTTTCTACCATTTTCTTCAACGGAAACTAAAATTAGCATCTTAATTTGCAGAAGAAACAATTACAACAAAGCAGATCAAGAATAACATATCATTTCTTGTTTAAAAGTTATCTTTTAAGGGAATTCATTTTAAGAATTGCGTGAAGGTAAGTTATAATTATAGGAGGTGGTACTGATGCATCATTGGTACATATATATTGCAATAATCCACAAGATGAACCAATACAAGATCGATTTAGAGAAGTGCGGTCCAGAGGACGATATCTAACACTTTATTTTTTCACTGATAAGTCTATTGAGCGAAGAGGCTTTCGTCTGGAATACAGTTTTTCTGGTTTTGAAGATGGTTAGTTTATTTTCTGTTTATATGAGCCACTTTGCACACAAATATTTTTATTTCCTCGGAAAAATATTGTTTTACAGAATGTGGATTTACGACAAATCATATGTCAGGTACTGTAATAAGCCCAAAAAGTCCACATGATTATCCGAATAATGTTTATTGTTTATGGGATATTTCGGTACCATTTGGTTATCATGTGGCATTGTACTTTCATCGTTTTGATGTACAACAATCGGATGATTGCAACAAGGATTACATTAAGGTTATTTTAAAACTTCAAACTAATCAGTTGATTTGCTTATAAGTCTTGTAAAGCAAAATGAAGTATTAATCTCAATCGCAAATGATGAAATTGGGAAAGACTTAGTATTTATAGCTGAGATATTCTTTATCAAAGATACAGTATGATTTTGTAATCTTTTCTGATGGCAAAATAAGGGCTACAACGCACTCTCGTAACGCAACATCGGTTTTTTTTAACTTAGTTATAATATTTAGCATTGTCTAAAATTTTTATTCTGTGTTTGCAATAATTGTTTTTTTAGTTCCAACTTTAGTTTTTTTGCAATTTAAACATTTTACTTTAGATAAGTCAGGAGCATCACTCAAGAGCTTTGGCACCAGTTGGGAGTTATTACTTCTTATTTGACCATGAAGAAGAAATGAAAAAAATTTGTGGTTATGAAACACCTCGTGTGTTCCATTCAGAAACTAATCGTATCAAAATCGAATTCAAATCAGATGATAAAATAACGGGAAAAGGATTTAATATAACGTGGAAATCAGGTTGCGCTTCATGTTCGCCTATTTTTTTCAATAATGTTATCAGATTAGAATGCATTCCTTATGAGATACGAAAGATAAAAAATTCGATTTCAAAAGCTAAAGTTGTAGAATCATTATAAAATATCAATCAGATATTTCTAAACGAAAGAGTATGAGAATAAATTAAAATGAGTTTTAGTAGTATTTGAAATAGTAATTGAGAATATTTTAGAGTGCGGTACCACGTTTCGATTGAACCATGGTGTGGTTACATCACCTCACTACCCCCGCTTTTATCCAAACGAAGACATGGAATGTAATTATTTGATAAAGCCCGAGTATGATGGTACACTTATAATCACGTTAAAGATCCTTGACCTGGAACTTGACCCATATATTTGTACGTTTGCTCTACTGCATTCTATTTTAAAGTTTATCACAAATTTTTCTTATCTTTCAAAATTGCTATAAGCACATCAACTGAGTTAATTGTTATTCATCGAAGAATAATATAACTTGGGACATTAAAGCCTTATTCTGTATCTTTCGATACATTAATACTTTCCTTTAATCATAATGTCAGTTAGGACTTTCAATTGATAAACTGAATTTTAAAAAGTGAAACTCATAGAATGTATTTATGTGATAGGACAGATGTTATAACATTGAAGATTCTTAATCAAAAGCATACAAATAAATAATGAAAACTTTTTTTGCTGTTGAATACAATGCGAACATATTTTATTTTGAATTCAAAATTTTCAGACGATTATAATCGACAGCCATGCAACACAGATTTCTTGGAATTAAGAGATATTTCAGCAAAACGTGTTATTGATACATTTTGTGCGAATCGTGATATTAGCGGTGAAATAGCTCCCATATCTGTTAAGATAAGTTCTATACTTTGTTATAAACAGCTCTTATTTGCTGTAAACGGAATATTGCCAAATTTTCTTTATTTTCAACTGTTTATATCAGATATCATTGTAAAATAGTAAATAAATATATAAAAATCCAGAGAATTTAACACACGTATGAAACTTATACATGAAATAACACAATAAAAAAAAATTAGAAAAAATTTCCACTTGCTATAATTGTAGCTTTTAAATCAATCATGTTTAAAAATCGTTTAAAGCTATGCTATTAAAAAATTGAGCATAGATTTTTGGTGCAGTGAACTGAATTTCCGAAATTTTAGGGACCAGTGGGTGTGCGTTTCCTGTCAAACAGATCAGTCTTTGAAGATCTCCTTAATCATCGTAAACATCGCCGTGGTTTTAAAATATCGTATGCTTTGTCAAGTAAGTAATTTGAACAATTATTACGGCTTTCAAAAGATAAGTTTCTTACTTTAAAACATGAATATTACTTTTACTAACATTTCATCTGTATTAAGAAAGAATCCTGACAAATAAATTTTTCTGTTTCAATGGAAATCATATTCATTGTGGATCATCCCATATTTCCATCTTTTTAAAAGTAGTAAATAATGAGGAGAGAAGGAGAGAGAGAGAGAGAGAGAGAGAGAGGGAGAGGAAGCATTGATATATTCTTTTTTACTGAAATATTTCAAAAGTTATGCGTCGTTAACGTTAATATTTTTCTTATGAAAGAATTCGATTCATTTACAGAATGTGGTGGTGAAATTAATTTTAAAGAAGAGATGGGATTGATGTCAGCAGTTATTTCATCTCCTGGTTTTCCTCTGCCATATCATCACAATCTTGACTGCGTTTGGAACATATCTGCTCCTGAAAAACGTATTCTTAGCATCAAGTAAGTTTTATTTAGAAATTTTTTCTCTCTGTAGTAAGCTGCTAATCAAATGAGCAATATCTGATATATTAGTAGTGAATGTCATGCAGCATTTACATCATCTGCAATATTTCATAAGTGAAAGAGATGATGATATTTATACCAACTTCTGCTATTGTTATAAATTTTGACCACTTTTCACTTAACTGTAACACCATTCAAGGAAATGAATTTGCTAAAGTACACCTGTTATATCTTTTAATAAACCTTCTAATAAAAGCTCGCATATCAGCCTATCATTCAGATAAAGCAATATATAGTATTAGTTATATTCTTCTTTATTTCAGATACACACATTTGGATTTGGAAGAATCATCCGAATGTTTGTTTGATTTTGTGGAACTTTTTGATGGTTCACAAATTAACAATGCAACCAGTATGGGCAAATTTTGCGGCACAATCGTCCCTTCTAATCAAATGTCAACAACTGGCCGATTCTTGGTTGTAAGATTTTATTCGGACAGGAGCGCCAATAAAGGAGGATTTAGAATCATTGTAACTGCCTCTCTTGGTATGTTTTTCCTGTCTGTTTGTGTTTTTTGTGACAACAGAATTTCTATAAAAAGGTAAACAGTCGTTTGATACAAAATAATTACTTCCAAGATAAAATATATGTTATGTGCTTAAAATATTAGTAGGGGGAAAAAGAATAACGAACTGATGACAGTAATCAATGTTTTTGAAAGAAGAAATAATATTTGATTTCTGTTCAGGTATTATTAGATGTTAAACTAACTATCATCGAAAATTTATTTCCTAGTGTATTTTAAAATTTTGTATAGATATTTCTATCCCTATATTTATAAGAAAATTTGTTAGTTTAGGTCCAGATGGAGGTTGTGGTGGAGTGATAAATATTGATGGCAGTTACGAGCTTACATCACCTTTGAATCCAAAAACTGGCCAATACTATAACTTCTTGCGCTGTGGTTGGACATTAAAAGCACCAATAGGAAAAGTGCTGGAAGTACAGCTGCAAGATTTAGAATTGGAAGCTCCTGATGCAGAAACAGAACGTTGTTATGATTACATTGCGGTATGAATAGTTGTTATAAAAGTCTTTAAATTTATGTTATCAAATCTACTTATTCCTCTGAGCACTTTTGTGGCAATTTTATCTTCTGGATTAGCCGTGTCAGTTCTAATAAAAAATTTCAAAATTATAGATTTACGATGGCTATAAGACGATATCCCCTATGTTACTATCAAATACATGCAAAATTATGGGGCAACTCCCTTTGATCATGCGAAGTTCTTATCGTATCGTGCACATTTATTTCGAATCCGATTCCGACAAAACATTCAAAGGATTTACGATAACATTCAAGACTATTGCAGGCATGATTTTCAGTTTTTGAAAAATAGATTACTTATGTACTGCTCTGTGCTAAGATTATTGTTTTTCTGTTTCATCCGTTCACATCAAAAAATGTAATTAATTCGTTGCTTTAAAGTTTTGATGCTTTCAAATACGTAATCGTGTTATAATCCTCGATTGTCAGTCAAATTTTATGACATTTCAACTTATTAATTCAAAAAAAATGAGATTCCCGTTTGAATTGGCATTTTTGACTGTTTCATCATTACAGCACCATGTGGAGGTCGAAGGATTGCTACCACTGAATCCGTTGAATTGCAATATGAAAGTGAAAAAAGTAAGATATATGGTCATTACTTACATTACTATGACTGTACCATTTTTATTCATTTTATTAATGAATGTTTGACCTTTTTTCTTTATTATGCTGCATGCGACTTTGATTGTTGTTCAGCAAGGAATGACATAGGGCATGAAGAATTGTTTGAATTTCGGCACGATATAGTATATATGCCTCTGAATACTGGAAATGACAGCAAATGACAGATGCACTTGTAAGAAAAGACAACATTAATGAATTAGTGATCAAGCAATTCTATGGTTTATCACTCTTGTAAATTTCAGTGCTTACGCGATCATTTCCGAAGCACCAACGTTGTCGCTGGATAATTTATTCAAAGGAGCAAATGCCTATACGAGTTGACTTCAGGTTCAGTACATTCCACAATATTTTTGTGAACTTTGATAACTTTTTAAATTTATTGCTTTCAAAAAATTGGAATTAATGGGTTCTATCTTATATTCAATCGGTGTAGTTAGTTTCATTTTTTAGTCAGTTCTCATTTCCTTCTTCAACATCCGATTGTACCGATGAATATATGGAAATACGTGATGCTGGCACACCTGCTGATTGTCATCATCCTGCTTGCCGTGATACGAGTAATGGACTGCAGACTTTTCGATTATGTGGTAACACACTCCCCGCTGACTTTATTTCAGGGACAAGTGTTGTTCAGGTAAAAACGTTTGGTCACTTAGAAGTGAAGTAAATACTGCAGCGAAGCACATACTCATAATGCAGCTTATTGCATCATTTAGATCAAACACTCCCTTAATTATAATAAAGTATTGTCATGACTAAATCATAAGTCCAGCATACTTCTCAAATATTAAAATTTGATGTTGCTTTCTAATTTTTTATCGGAGATAATATTTAGCAATTTCAGATAACAACATCTGCAATTCTGCAGAGTGAACATACCGCTAAATTTCGTCTCTCTTATCAAACGCTTAATTGTTAGTTCTTATTCCTCCTTTTATAAAAAAACCTCGAACTCTATTTTTAATGTCGAAAATTTTTAAACAATTTTATTAGGTACTCATTTTATTTAAGAAAACATATGAACGGAAAAACTGCTAAACGTAGACTACTAAACGTTTATCATCTTAATACATGATTTACAGCATGTAATCGAACAATTGCTACCCAACAATCAATGACTGGTCACATAACAAGTCCAAATTATCCAAATCCATACGACCATAATTCCTCCTGTTCTACTATTTTAACAGCTTTAACCGGATATCACATATTTTTGGTTTTTAAGGATTTTAAACTAGAAAAAGCTCGCCGATCGTTTAATGGTCAATTATCCACCTCTATTCAGAAAATGTATGTCTTCATTTACTTCCAATCAGATCACTTCTGTTTATTTCTATTTCCTTTCCGGTGTAAAATTAAGTTTTCGATTGATTTTGACAAACTGTCATCTTCACCATCTGTGCATAGCCACCTGTGATAATAATTTGTGAAGTTGCTAAAGTTTCCAGGTTAGTCAGTGGACGAAGTTTTGGACCATTTCAAAATGTAATTGACGGATACAATGGACTTTACAGCAATAAATTTTGTGAATATGACTATATTGAGGTGAAGTATTGTTATTTCCCAATATTTGACCTGAAACAAACACATCGGAGCATAATTATGATTTCAAGAAATCATTACATTAAAAAGTTTTACTTTTATTTCCAGTATCACAAAATTTGACAAAATTAAAGTTAAAGTTAGCCTCAAAACTTGATATCACCGCATCATTTTTTGTAATGAGGTAGAATGTTTTCTTAAAATTTCTGGATGTTCAAGATTCCTCAAAATATCCTACTGATTTCCTAACACAGGTAATCGATTCTTTTGAAAATCGAACAGAAAGATATTGCGATTACAAACTACCGCCCAGCTTTCTCAGCGCTAGTAATACATTAGAAATTTATTTCAAAAGCGACAGTACAATGGCACCTGGTGGATACGATGCCTATTATTATACTGTTCGACCATCACTATCAGGTTTGGATTGTGAATTTACATTTTAATTGCAGTGCAGAATGATGTATTTTAGACTTCATCACTAAATTAGGATTTGCAATCAAAATGTCACATTCCTTGCAGATAACCTATCATTCGTTTACTATGACTTTGGTGTCATAAGTGAGCCACAGGGTGCAGTCACAAATGTTGGCTACCCAGGATATAAGAATCTACAGAGAATGAGGTATTTTATAAAATCTTCAAATAGTCTGAAAATATGATGAATAGGAAATTTCTTCGCAAGTGTTTCAAATCTTCATTTTAAGGAAAATGGAATTCAAAGTTGAGACTGTTTTAAAAAATAGTCTCAACTTTGAATTCCATTTTTCTTAAAATGATTCTAACAGTTAAAGAATAACCAAGTAATTCTTTTGCTGCCTATCTACGCTAATGCTCCATAGTCTCTAACATATAATTACATACCAACAGGGATGGAAGTACTGAATGTCTAATCATCTTTGGCATTCTGTTAATGATGTTATTAGCCTTAGGTTGTTGCGAGATCCTTGAAAAACATTATTGTAGATGGAGAATCGATCCACCGAATGGCCATAAATGTAAATTAATTCTTTTGACGATGGATTTCGGAAAGAACACAAATAATGAATGCACCGAAGGCGATCATATGGTGCTGGGTGAGATCAGATCTGAAGGATCTGAGAATATACCACTCAATTATCTTCCTTGCAGAGATGCTGTAAGATTTTCCAATTTAATAATCGTAGTATAAACTTAATAATTTCGCAGTTTAAATTAAAACTTAAAACACTCTCTAACATATAATTGATACAATTATATGTTAGAGACTCTTTTAAACTCTGCATAATGTTAGCACAGTTTAATCCTTTTCCTGTATTCTGTATCTAATAAATCAGCAAAAATTTTCTGATTGGTTAGACGCAGAAGCGGAGAAGGATTAAACTGCGAGTAACATTATGCAAAGTTGAAAAAGGAATTATAAGTGTTATGAAAGTTCATCCGTTTGTTAGCTGGTGTATGTATAACATCAAAACAAGTCAGAATTACTGACCAGATTCTCTATCTAGCTTATCACAACATAAGGTGAATTTGAAATAAACTTGAAATTTGTTGGATATGAAAAACAAATACTGAGATATTTTATATCTCACTGTTCATTCCAGGTGATCTTGCCGAAGGAGATACCCATCGAGCCTGGTACTTCAATCCTCCTTGAATTTTATACCGATGATAAAACGACAGATAATGGTGATGGATTCAGAATCGAATGGACTTGTGAAAATTATAACATTATGCAAGTGTGACTCTAGCATTTAATGCTATTTGTTGTTGTGCTCTTTTAAGTTTTTGTATCGTGATGTTGATCCCTCACTAATATATTCAAAAATGAATAGCATAATACCAAGTTCAAATGTTTTTCAGCTTATTGTTTTTGTATATATTTTAAAATATTAAAGTACACAATGTATTATCTGAACATAACGATGATAGATAATTTACATTTGTACAATTGAATAAAGTGAAATTAAATCAAAAAAGCACAAATAATAGAAGAGATGATTATATTACAGAATTCTTTGAGTTTGCTTTACTCCTTGCAAACCAAATAATTAAACAGCTGGCAATATCACAATTTGCTTAACTATTTAAGGATTGAAGTAATTTTTCGAGCTACAATTAAGATGCAGTGAGAGTACAGCAGAACAAAGTTCAGACCTTCACAGAATGCTCAGTGTCATTAGACGAGTATGGCCTGTTTGTTATAAAAGAAGCAATCCAGTCTAATACCCAACTGAACTCAAGCACAAATTTCTACCCTAAAGATGTCGAAACAGAGAGAACAGAATAAATGACAAAGTTCAAACGCTTTTCCACGTTTTTACCGGAATGTATCGTTGAGATGCGTTTGCACAATGGGCGCGTGTCACGGTCACGCAGAGATATGTGGGGTGAGGAGCGTGATGAACCCGCCTGCCGGCAGTTCGTGTTTGTAGTATTTGTTCTTTCTCGTCGGGATGCTTGCTGGATGTGACAGATTGTCAGTGCTTTGTTTAGACATTTCATTTTCTCTCTACTTCTGCAACTTCTATCCTAATCTCTATTATATTAGTGTTGTTGCACGGTGATGAATACACTTCGATTTGTTTCCTCCCAAAATCAAATTTTCCACCTTTTCTTTTCTCATATCATTTTATCTGCAACATCGCTCAGTTTCTATCTGACCAATTTTCTTCATTCTTTTTTTTATTTAATAAGAAATTTTAAAAAGAAATTTATTTTTTACAGTTCTTTTCAATTTCTGTTTATGTTGTTTCCAATTATTTTGCTCTTATTTCATACTTATCGTAGAATTTCTTCTAGGATTCTAAAAGTATCCTCAGTATTGTTTAATTGGTTTAATGAAGAGTGGAATTTTTCTGAACATTGGTGATGGGATATTCATCTATAAAATCTGATCATAAAAAGTTGTCTGATTTTTGGTTTTGTCAATATATATAGCTCATTGCGATTAAATAATTGGTTTAGAAAAAGTAATTTCATTCACTAAGAATCCTATTCGTGGCACCAAAAGATATGTTGTCCGTTTTTCATTTTCAACTAATTACAAGAAATTATTCTTATTAATTCATGTTCATTAATTTTATTACTTTTACGCAAATTTTTATTATATCTTGCTGCTGGAAGATATCCGGTTCAGATATTCGGAGAATTTTACAGAAAAGATGTATAATAAGTTAAAATTATTGTTCAAAATGATATTTTGCTAAAGCACGACACGTTTGTTTCGACGTTGGAATTTTATCCAATATTACTGAGCAGGTTCACCGGAATAATTTTTGTATACTACCTGACTATGTATCAGTGGAGAATTTTTTTACATTTTTTATATGATTTAATTGCTACGGTTAATGTTTAGGTCGTTAGAAGACAGGATTATTGATTTATTTCATTGTACTGAAATTAATCTCTCAAGATGTCATTTCCACAAAATACGTCAAATGCAATGCTCGTTGATTTTTTAAAACGTAAGTATCATACAACAAGTAACACATATTGAATGGGGAGGGTAGCTGTGATACTTCCAGTTCTCAAAGTGTATATATGCTTCAGTTAGAAAGTTCGTAGTTGAGTCTGCGTTTTATGTTCACGATATTGGCTTTGACATATATCTAGTTTATGACAGTAATGACAGTAAATCGTTTATGATAGTAAGTAGTTAACGCTTAAATATACTGTATAATTTCTGCAGTATATTTCAGCTTGTGGAAGACTAGTACTGATCTATGATTAAATCACTTTTTTGGCATGTATTGTTGATCATTTCCTGGATTTACTTTATTGTGGTCTTGTATTTTTGCAGAAGTGGGACATATCACAGATCACAGGGTAGAAGAAGTCATGCTGAGCGTTGATCGAGCTGACTTTTGCCCAAGAAATTCGTATCAGGATTTTCCGCAACAAATTGGATACAATGCAACTATTAGTGCTCCCCACATGGTAAGTATTCTCTTATATGCATATATAACTTAGCTATAATTTTAGTTCAGCTTTATGTGTGTCACACTATAATTTAGATAAGATATCGTAATTTATATTATGCTGCCAATTCAGTTATAAAGAAATAAAATTTAATGATTAACAGCTTTCCATGTTAATTTCTTTTGGTATCAAAGTGGTAGGACATAAAGAGTATATGTGGTCATTTTTGAAGTTTTTTCGTAGTTTTCAGCACGCACTGGCTTTGGAACTTTTGAAAAATCACTTAAGGGATGGCAACACGGCATTGGATATTGGCTCCGGCTCCGGCTATTTAACAGTTTGCATGGCACTTATGGTAAGTATTACCTCTCACAATTATATAGATTAGTTTTATGAATTTTCCTCTTTATTGTCTGTACAATGCTTTAATAGTTCACTTGCAAAAGTATAAGTTTAATTTTTGCTATCAAATGCTCAGATTTATGTAAATTGTTATGTTAAAACTGTTGGTTTTATAGGTCGGTAGAAGAGGAAGAGTAGTTGGCATTGATCATATCAAAGAACTTGTAGACCTTTCGATTACTAACATTAATAAACATCATAGCGATCTGTTTTTGGATGGGCGGATAACAATGGTTACGGGTGACGGTCGTAATGGATACAGAGCTAGCGCTCCATATACAGCTATTCATGTTGGTGCTGCTGCACCAAAACTTCCTGATACAGTATGTTAATTGTCATTTATTCAGTTTCATACGAAATCCTCTCTCCTTTATTTTATAATTAAATTATATCTAAATAAAAAGTATTATTCATATTTAAAATGATTTCTTCTAGTTGTAATAAGATAATTGATTTAAAGATCCTCGTTTCGGAGAAAGAAAACTTTTCTGAACAAGTTTATGTTACTTATTATGTATTAATTTCTATACTGAAGCAAGTATAACAGAAGTTCAAGGGCGACAGAAAGTATAGACTAAGTGGTTCAATTCAGTTACTTAAAAAATTACTAAACTTGTTACAGTACATTTGGTGACCAAATTATATTTTAGTCTGTAACCACTTGAAATATGACAGTAAGACATCAAAGATTTAAAAATTTCAGTTGGTAAATCAGCTTGCTCCAGGCGGTCGAATGATTATTCCAGTAGGTGAAGTTTTCAGTGATCAACATATTGTTCAGGTTGACAAAGATTTGAATGGTAATGTAAAAGTTGAAGAATTATTCGGTGTTCTATTTGTTCCCCTTACAGATAGGAAATACCAGCTTGGCCGTTTAAAATTCAAATAGCTTCATGTATAAATTTCATTAACAATGTATGCTTAATGTAAATTATTAATCTGATCTAATTATTAGATAAAACTCACAAGCAGAGAGCGTTTACGGGGTAACTAGATATGTTATTGTATGGGGTGGCATGTTATATGATTCCTGAAAATTCTACATTCTAATTTTATTTCTCTTATCTTTTTCAGTTTTATTTTGCATCCAATTCTTCAACCTTGATCTCAGCCCAGTGACTGCTTTAATCGAATTATTGTTTATTGATCTACTGATGTATCAGTCATTCACTGATATTAACTCATTATAATTCAGAACCTTACCACATTACTTGTACAATTACTAACCAGTCTACTTGCACGAAAACTTAATTAAAAACCGGTGAATCTGTAAAATGGTATCTGATTTTTGTTAGCTCTAATTTTTTTTTAAAAATGCGTTGTAAATGAAGTTCATTTTAAAATTTCTAAGAACATCAACCATTCCGCAGAGTTCTTATTACACTTCTTCGAAAAGTGCAACATTTGTACATATTTTGTCGAATATCAAAAAATAAAGATCTCAAACTTTTCTTCTTTCTAAATGACTGGATTGTTAATACAGACGCTTTATTTATAAGCAACAACATATTGAAATTGAAGTGTCAGATTGTTCTGAAGTATTTCTCAATTAGGAGGAACGATGGGATAGAAAAGTTTTAAAATGCATCAGGAACCTACTTGACTTAGTATATATTAGGGAACTATTAACAAGAGAGGAATGACGGTGATCAGTGAATCTATGAGTCTTTTTTTTTATAGTTTAGTCCATCGTGTGGCGAATCTATGAAAAGCAGAGATTAAGTAACATTTGCATCTGCTTTTTGAAGCGAAATATGGCATGGCGTTCGCATGGTGAATCAAATGTCTCATTGGTAGAGAATTTACGTAGTTAGTTGTTTGAAGTTATTTTTAAAGTGAAAAGCGGTTTTTTGCAACCTTCTGTTTTGTGCCGAAGGTCTTTGGTTATATCTACTCTACTGCATATGAAATCTTTCACATGAGGCATTTCTCGATTTATTATTCAAGATCGTTACGTAGCAAAAATTTATGTCGACTGATTTATGTGAAAGTTATGTTTTGAAGTTTGGCACTGAGAAGTTTCGGTCGTCATAAAGAAATGTGAAGTTACGAAAAAAAGATTCAAACATAGAAGTCGCAAGAGACTGCAGAAGTATTTGTAGGGAATGGTCTGTTTAAAGATGAACGAGTTAAGATGACAATGTTGAAGGTCGATCGTGCCGATTTTTGTCCTCGAAATCCATATCTGGATAATCCAGAGCCGATCGGTTGCAACGCAACAATTAGTGCACCTCATATGGTTAATTTATCTTTTACTGAGTGTCAAGCGTATTGTAATGAAATGAAAGGAAAAATAAGAAGTCATACAATAATAATAGCTCACAGTTTCATTTTAAACTGTCATAAGTGAGGGACCATAGAGGTTTGTGAGGTCAGCCAGCAGCACCAGATGATGATGCAAGTGAATCCGATCGTTAATCTCTTGAAGGTGTTACGTTTATTCTTTCGTAATGTACAAATTTTTCATTTTGTTTATTGAAATCATTTCTGCTGATATTCAATATATTGTGTTTCAGCATGCTGCTGCGCTTGAACGGCTTAAGGATCATTTGACCGAAGGTGATAGAGCACTTGATATCGGTTCCGGTTCCGGTTATCTAACGACATGCATGGCACATATGGTGATAATGTTAATGAACACATAACATTCTTAGTTATTAGAATATTTTGATTTAGATTTTAGAAATCTATTAATACTTATGATTTCCTGAAAAAAAATATCTGTAATTCAAAGTTTTTTAATACAAATGGTTAATAATTGTTTTAGGTTAGTATTAATTGTTTTCTTTTATTATCATTTATTATTATTTTATCATCACTACTTTTATGTTTCGGTTTCGAAACTGAATCAGACAAATTCAGTTACGTATAAACTGTACAATCTTTTTCTAGGTTGGTGCAAGTGGCAAAGTCGTTGGAGTGGAGCACATTAAACAACTGGTGGATTTATCAATTAGTAATATCAAAAAAAATCATGCGAATTTATTGGAAGGAAGAGTGCTAATGGTTGAAGGTGACGGACGTAAAGGCTTTGCACAGTATGCGCCTTACAAAGCAATTCATGTTGGAGCTGCGGCACCAAATGTTCCCGATGAGGTATTTTTCCAGCTTTACCATTGTCTTGTGCTGTACCACGCGGTAATTTATTTGTCTAAGACGGTATTGAAGTACTAGCTTAACTTGGATTCTTTTTTCATTTTTTTATTTTTGGAGGTCATATCGCCTTAATAGAAGTGACTCATGGACTTACTATATTTTGTTGTAACTTCGTTAGTATACTGAAACTGCACATAAATCTTGTATTAGGAGGTTACAAATTTCTCCGATACATCTTTGTTTCAGTTATTGAATCAACTAGCTCCTGGAGGACGAATGTTGATACCAGTGGGCGCAGCGCATAGTGATCAGCGCTTTTTGCAAGTCGATAAGGATGGCAAGGGTAAAGTTACGGTGAACGATTTAATGGGTGTAATTTACGTGCCGCTTACTAACAAGGAGAATCAAATTGGACGAAATCAATGACAAATTTTTTTTTCTTCCATGTAGTTTGGACATCTTTCTTTGGTCGACTGGGTTGATTGATGTCAAGTTCTGAAAGACATATTGGAATCTTAATGATAATACCTCCCCAAGCGTATTGCTAATGAATGATTCATTTTGTATCGGAAAGAAATAACATTACTCTTTGCTTTATGAAAGATTCTGATTTGTAAAAAATTTTGCAATACTTTCAAGAAACAGAACGGTGTTATCTCATACGGATTGACCATAGAAGTACGTGTATATATTCATTTTTGCTTACTCCAAAGTTGTTTTTATATTATCGATTGCTCTGTAATTGCTGTTAGCTCGTATATATTATTACGGTTTTGCTTTTTTTTTACGAGTTTGTATAATTGAGGTGAGATGATCAACACTCCTTAGATTTACAAGTCACTTCCAAGAACAGATTGGGAACTGTATAATTTCACTTTCTGAGTGAAAATGAACCTGTAACTTCAGTTGGAAAGTTTTTCCAGCTCAAGAAACTGTATTTTTAAAATCTTTTAAAAGGCTTATTTCCATCCGTTAAGTATCAGTAATGTTCACTATTTAGACATTTACATTTTCTATATTCTGATTTGCTTAAATTTGTCCAGATACTAAAAACACATCATTATTATGGAAACAAATCATGAAACAGCTACTATCATTTTGATTTCTGTATATCCATTTATGTTTCTATCGCTTTTTACATGTGTGAAATGTAAAGTTCAAGCAATATATTCTTTAATATTTTATTTGGGTTGGAAGCTGAGTCGGTCATATTTGCTCCGGTTTTTTATTGTCATGACTGGTTATTTTCGAGAATTTTTGTACTGTCAGCCTTCGCTTCTTTTGTCGAATGTAGATCTCTTTTGACCTTTTCCTTTCCTTGCTGCGT